AAACACTCCAAAAAAATTCAATTTTTCTTAGGCAGACGATTTTATTGCATTTTCTTGCACAAAATACACCGAAAAGTGTAGAAAAAAATTGACACCCAGATCCGAGTAGAGGATACCCAAAAAGGGTATCCACACACACACACACACATACATACATCCGGACAATTGATCAGGATCTTATATAACATGTTTCTATAAAGAAAAAAATTTTGTTTCCGCCACTTTGAAAAGTTTTATAAACGAAAGGACTACAAAGCTTCCTCCACGAGGAAGCAAAATCAGAGTTTCCCGATTCCTATTTTGGTAAAATTAGTAAAAATCAATTTCAGTCAGACGTTACTTCAAATGCTTATAATTTTGCTTTCAGTAGTAAAAGACATTTTTAATCAGACAACGCTTCTTTTAATTTCATATCATTAGTAAAAGTCAATTTCTTCCACAGAAATAATTTTTGTAATAAAATTTCATCAGTAGAAATAGTAAGGTTTTAGTCAGACAAAAAGTATTTAATTTCAAATTTATTATATGTAAATGAAATTATTTACAAATATAAAACAAAAAATTTCCAATAAGTAGTAAAATTATGTTTTTTTTCTGAAACTAATTTCAAAATCTAAAACATAAAAATTAAATTTAAAAATACATAAGAATAAATTTCCAATTTCTAATCTAAAGCGGAGAATTTTTGCATTTTGATTATATAAATTAGGTAAAGGAGAAGGTGATTACTAATTAGGTGGGAGAAAAGTGTTTCATTAAGCTTTGGGTTGATGGTGACATGCTGGAATTTGTCCCCGAACGCGTCAAGAAATTAGCGACAAGAGAGTACTAAATTTTCATACAAATTAAATGCGATTTTACGCAAAGGAAAGGGGTGAGGGGAGCCGTTGAATTTATGTTAATGAGCCACGAGTATATGTACGAGAAAGTTTACTTACTCCAAAACTCCAACAGAAGTACATCTCGGAAAACTTTCAGTTTATTACAAAAGAGAATTTCAAAGTGTAATTTATATATTATTGTTAACTGATGAAAATATTTTTTTTTATTCTATAAAAAAATAATCACACACACCTATATATATATATTTAAGAAAAATATTTTTATTTATAATATATATTTAAGTAGCTTTCTAAAAATTATAATATATGATTATTTATAAAATGTATAAAAATGATATTATTCCTAAAAAAAAAATCTCATTTATTTTTAATCACAAAAATTTTCAATTTAGAATTTCGATGAGTAAAAAAATCGAAAAATTAATTTAATATCAATTATAGAATAATTAATAAATTTAATACTTTTTTATTTAAGTGATTTAAATATTACTATAATAAAAAAATAGAAATTGTAGTTGTTCAAAGTCTCTTATAGATAAAAAAAAAAAAAAAAAAAAAAATTCAATCCTCTATATTTTTTTCATCATTATCTTGATTTAAAGGAACTCGTGTCGAGTCTGTTGTATGATGATTTTGATTTTCCATTCTTTTCAATGGCACCTCAATAATTCTTCTCTCTTGTTGTGTTGCATCGTCTGCGGTGACTTTTTCTAATTCCTCTAATGGAATAAGTCTCTTATCAACAATTTGTAACCAAATCATACACAAAACAAGTGTCATTCCAGTGACACCAAATGTATGATATGTCCCATAACGATTATAGATAACACCAACACAAACTGGTCCCAAAATTCTTGAGACACAACCCGCACCTGTCATAAGCCCCATCCAAACACCTTGCGGTCGGGGACCTAAAATTTTACTAAAAATTGTTTGCGTCAATGTCACACCCAATGGATATCCAATTGTTGTAAATGTATAACCAATCAAAAATTGTGTAATTGTCATTTGGGGCGTGTAACGACACCATTCTTGAATACTTGGACAGCCAACTTTTTCTGTACCATTAATGTAGGTCGTTTCATTTCCAAATGCTGCGGAAAAATAAATTTTTAATTTTAATTAATTATAATAAAAAAAAGTAATTAAAATAAAATAATAAATTAAAAATGTTTTAGTTGCTAAAATTAATTAAATAAATTGTTTATATAATGAAAATGAAAATTATTTAATTCAAATAATCGATTACTTTACTATTAGTCAAATATTTACTTGAGCCAAATAATTTTTAATGAACTGAATAATTTTTACAATAATTTTTGAAATATATTTCATTTTGCTCTCGAATTTAATTGACTCAAATAATAATTATTTATAAACATTTATTTAAGTAAGTAATTAAAAAAACCGATTATTTAATAAAAAAGTAAAATAATAATAATAATAATAATAATAATAATAATAAATGTTTCTTCATTGTAATTTAATAAAAACAATTTAGGATAATAATTTTATTGAATTGAAAATTTACCAATAGATTTTTTTTTATAATACACTTACGACCAAACTCAGCAATTGGTGGTGGATCTGGTCCCCATGGAATCATAAATAATCTTCCAACAAACATGCAGAAGAAACCACCCCACATCATTACTTTTCTTTCAGCGAATCTGTAAGAAAAAAAAAAGACGCATTGTCATAATATTAATATGTTTTTTAATGTTTGATTTTTATCTCAGAAAACAGTAACGGAATACAAAAAAAAAATAAGGAAATTTCAATAATTCACATTTATATATGGTAATAATAATCATGACAATTTATTTATAATAAAACTTGATAACTCATAACCAAAATGGGCAAAAGAAAAAAACATTCCAATTGAACCTAAATTGCAAAAGAATAAGAATAATCAATTTTATTCGATTTTTTTTGATAGAATGTTTTCCTGGAAAATGAAAAAATCCCTTTCAAAGTTAAATAAAATTAAGCAGCATGTCTCTATTATTTTTTTACCTTCAGACAAACCCTTAGTACCTTCAAAAAAACCTACCAATTGGACCTAAATTGCAAGAGAATAAGAATAATCAATTATATTCGATTTTCTTAGATAGAATGTTTTCCTGGAAAATGAAAAAATCCCTTTAAAGTTAAATAAAATTAAGCAGCATGTCTCTATTATTTTTTTACCTTCAAACAACACTCATAACCTTCAAAAAAAACCTACCAATTGGACCTAAATCCAAAAAAACACGTGAAATCAGTAATAACCAACTTCAAGTTAGGACAGAAGGACAGACGAAGCATTTTATTATTATATATAATTAATTTAATTTTAATTTTTATTAATTTTACTAGCAATATTAAACGCGCCAAATTGAGTATTTACTTGTTTGTTATAAAGAAATTAAAGATTAATATTATCAATAATAATTTAAATTTATTAGAATATTATTTCCTATTAAATGATAATAATGAAAATTATTATTATATGTTATTAAATTATATATAAAATTGAATTATTTTCCAAATTTTCAATTTATAATTCAATTATTTACCAAGTTTTCAATTTAAAATTAAATAAAATTCAAATATTACTCGAAATTTTAATTCAACATCAACTTAAATTAAATTATTATCCAAAATTTCAATTAAAATTCAATTATTTTCCAAAATTTCGAGTCAAAATTAATTATTATCAAAATTTTCAATCAACAATCAACTAAAATTAATTATTATCAAAATTCTCAATCAACTAAGATTTAATTATTTTCAAAATTTTCAATTTAAAATTCAATTATTTACCAAGTTTTCAATTTAAAATGAAATAAAATTCAATTATTTTTTAAAATTTTTATTCAAAATTAATTATCGAAATTTTCAATTAAAAATGAACTTAAATTAAATTATTATCGAAAATTTCAATTAAAATTCAATTATTACCCGAAATTTTAATCCAAAATCAACTTAAATTAAATTATTATCCAAAATTTCAATTAAAATTTAATTATTTTCCAAAATTTCGAGTCAAAATTAATTATTATCAAAATTCTCAATCAACTAAGATTTAATTATTTTCAAAATTTTCAATTTAAAATTCAATTATTTACCAAGTTTTCAATTTAAAATGAAATAAAATTCAATTATTTTTTAAAATTTTTATTCAAAATTAATTATCGAAATTTTCAATTAAAAATGAACTTAAATTAAATTATTATCGAAAATTTCAATTAAAATTCAATTATTACCCGAAATTTTAATCCAAAATCAACTTAAATTAAATTATTATCCAAAATTTCAATTAAAATTTAATTATTTTCCAAAATTTCGAGTCAAAATTAATTATTATCAAAATTTTCAATCAGCAATCAACTAAAATTAATTATTTTCAAATTTTCAATCAACAATCAACTAAAATTAAATTATTTTCAAATTTTCAATTTAAAATTCAATTATTTACCAAGTTTTCAATTTAAAATAAAATAAAATTCAATTATTTTTTAAAATTTCGATTCAAAATTAATTATCGAAACAATGCCAAAAAAACATTGAAAAATTTTAACCAACACAAAATAATGTCAAACAATACATTTAAAAAAAACAAAAGACCTATAACAAATACTAACTTCAGGTGTGGACAGAATGAACGAAAGATATTCACGATTATTATATGTAATAAATAAATTTTTTTAAATTTAAATTTTTTTTTTGAATTTTACCTTTTGCAAATTGGCCCAATCATTGCAAATACTCCGCAGGCAATTAAAGCTCCTACGCTCATCATAATACCCACATAGTACATGGCTTCCTTACCTGACCATGCAAATTGATTCATTGTCAAAGAACTACCTAGACTGAAACAATTCAATTATATTTCTATTTTTTTTTTTCTCTTTTGTAAAAAAAAAAAAAATTTTTTTTAAATAAAAATTTCCAAAACTCACGTTTCAATGAGAACAAAATTGAAGACTAAAACCAAAAATGCACATATTAATGTCCAAGAGGCGAGATAATCAATTTTTCTCGATTTCCATGATGATTCCTCTGCAATTTCTGTAATGAAAAAAAAAAAATTCTCGTTTTGAGAGGATATAACTTTTTTGTTTCGCTATATTTGGCAAATTAATTCCTCTCAGGAAAATTATTTTCCAATAAAAAAAAAAAAGATAAATTAAAAAAAAGGCAGATTAAAAAACAATTTTGAAATAATATAAATTCAAAAAAAAAAAAGGATTAAAAAAAAATTCATACCAGAATCGTTTTGCTCCTTTAAAGCTTCGCGAGCTGCAATTTTATGTTCAGTAAAATTTCCAGGAAGAAAAAGAATAAAGTTTAGAATTCCCAATAGTACATTGATCCAACCAACTGATGTGTACATATTAATGGGCAAACTGAACAAATAGAATCCTTGAGGTCCCAAAAATGTCATTGCTGATTGTAAAGCTGGTCCAACCACAAATCCCAAAACCTATATATATATATATATGTGAATGAATATTTTAGCATAAACATATCGCGATAAAAAATTTTTTTTTTTCTAAATTCCCCTCTCAAGGGTCTTAAAGAAACCTCTATAAAATTTTTGAACAAAATATTTCAAACCTGCGCTAGGGACACCATCGATACTGCTTGTGTCCTTTCTGAAAATCTTGTGGCAGCTGATAGATAAGATCTCGCTACCGCAATGTTTGCTGTAAAGAATTACATTCCATTTTTAAAGATTCTTTCTTTTTTTTCACACCTTAGTGTCAAGTAGATTTTTCAAGATAATCGCGATATATATTCAAAAAAAAAAAAAAAAAAATAGATTTAGAGCATTTGGTTTTTTTTTTATAAAATTTTTTTCCATGAAAAAAAAAATTGTTAAAAATAATAAAAGATGTGTAAAATTGTTTAAATGATAAAAAAAAATATTTTAATTAATAATTAATAATTAATAATAAACAGGTTTATTATTAATTAATATAAATATTAATAAAAAATTATAATTATTTTTGAAAATTATTTTTTTTTTTTATTTTTTTTTGATAATAAAAAGTCAAATGAATTTAAAGAAAATTTGTGATATTTAATTACCAGAACTTACGCCAACCAAAAAACGTGCAACGAGCATGGCACTTTTTCTTCCTTCGAGTGGAAGAATTTCCAGGATACTATAAAGTCCCGAAGCAAATGTAAAAATAGCTAATGTTATTAGCATTGGTAATCTTGATGATCCTAATTTATTACTCCACCAGCCAACTAATGGTGAGAATATCATTTGTCCTAAGGGATTTGCAGCCACAGCAAATGCCATAAACTCCACTCCTGTCGAATCTAACTAAATGAAAACGTTAATAAATATTATTTTCAAATATTTTTATTTTCATAATTTTATTAAAAAAAAAAAAAAAAAAATATTACACAATAACTTTAGGGCTTTTTCAAAATATGTGTAACAAATTTAATTAAAGAAAATTCATTTATTTTTATTATTTATTAAATTTATTTATATTTATTTAGATAATTTTTTTGTAATTTATATAATTATTTAAATAATTATTTATTTTGTTGAGAGAGAAAATTTCGAAAACAATAAAATTAATTATTTAACTTTAAAGGAAATTTATCATTTGAAAATGAAAAAATTACCTTCTTTTGTAAATAATCATATATCCCAGTAAGAACTATACTGAATCCTAAGGACATTAAAAACATTGTGAAATAAATGACGTAAATGCTTCTCCATCGTGCTCTTCTTTGGTCAAAATTTTCAAGGTTGTCACCACGAAATGAATGAGCTCTGTAATTTTTAATAAAAAATATTACTATTATTACATAACTTGATTTCTCTGGCAATAGTTATTAAATCAATTTTTTTTTTTTTGTTATTCAGAAAAAAAAATGATATTAAAATTTATGTTCTATGAATCAGCAATCTTATACTTTATCATTAAAAACGAGATATATATGTGTAATAATAAATGTTTTCCAAAAGAGGTTTCTTTCCAATATACATATATATACAAATAAATGGAAACTATTAATTAAAAACGCAAATAAAAAAAAATAGGTAAATTATTCTGAATTATGTGGAAAAATTATGAAAATTTAATATTATTAAAATATTAATTAATTATTATTAATTAATTATTAATTTAAAAAATTAATTATTTAATTGATTAAATAATTATATAAACTATTAATATCGAAATACTTACTTTTTACTATAGAACTTTTTATACCAATCCATTATTATTGTTTATTAATATTCATTTAGAATTTTGAGATAAAAATTTTGCCCTTCCTTTTGGACAATTTAATTAGCGGTCCTAAAATTTAAATAATTTATTGAAAAATACAAAAAAATGGTTAATTATGAAAAATTAGTATTTTTGGAAAAAATATTTATATATTTAAAAAAAAAATTCTTAATTTTAAAAAAGGAAACTACTTACCAAAATGCACTAATTAATCATTTTTCTTATAATTGAAACTTTGAGTTATATTTTTATTTCGATAATACTGAGTGCATTAAATGAAGATAATAATCATTTTGATAACGTTTCATGCATTTTTTTAAAACTGAAAAATACGTAAATAAATCGTGGACATTAATTAACAATTAAAAAAAAAATTGAAAAGATAACAAAAAAAATTATAAATTAATGTTTATAATTGAAAAAATATTTTATCAATATAGATATAATATTATTAACTTTATTATTAACTAAATAAATAAAACAATAAATAAATCATTTGTAAATGGTAAATCCACTTTATTATTTGTTACTGATAATGAAGTTTATTAACCGCGATCACATTACATATATTCGTCATTTAATATTCAAATTATATTATTTTCAGGAAGAACAAAGAAAAAAGAATTAATAATAATAATAATAATTAATTTTAAATCATCCAAAAATCATTTATTAAAATTATTATTTATCATTGTTAATTTTCCTTTGTTTCACATTAAAATAATTATTTTTTTTTTATTGTAAATTTTTCCATTTAAAAAGCAAAAATTTATAAATTTTTTTTTTTAATTAATTATTTATTAAAATTTGGAAAAATTCGAAAAAAAAAAATTTGTCACCTTTGTTTTTCATCGGCTCCGTAAGAAATGAACTAAAATAATATTTAAGATAAGTTTTTATAAAAGTGAAATAAAAAATATATTCTCATCATTTATTTCACAATAATAAATGTATCTTCTGTTTCATATGAACGTAATTGTTGAATCTGAACTATTATAACTATACATTCGAGATAAATCACAGATTAGATATTTATTCTAATATTTTGCAATATATTGTACTTTTAACACTATAATCTTTGGAAAGCATTTATTTCTTTTTTTTTTTTTATTATTGTCACAAAACTTGATTAACGCGTGGAAATTATTTATTTTTTTTTTTTTGTTTTGTATTTGTTTTCATAAAAATGAGAAATATACAAATGGCATCGAGTTTGTTAACTGTTACAAGTTGTATAAACTCGTGTCGAGTCGACAAACTGCCAGAGACGGTTCAAATATACGCGGATAAAGCCTCTTTACTCTCACAAATAAACTTGGACTTTCCACTTTCAGGCTCGAAGCAATTGTCTCTAGAACCCAGGATTAATTTGTTATTGTCAATAATTAATTGTTGAAAACAATAAAAAAGAAAAAACAAAATCAATAAATTAATTTCAAACAAAAATTTTCAATATATTCTAAAAAAAATTAAAATAAAGAAACTTACCTTTTCGTAACACTCCATAGTTTGAAAAAATCATTATTTTGCGTTTAGATGATTTAAAAAATAAAAAATATTCAAACAATGAAGGTCACATTGAAAAAAAAATATTTTGTTATAATAAAATATAAAAAATTTACCTATAAAAGATGTGTTACATTATTATTAATATTTTATTTTATTTAAAAAAAACGAAACAATAATCAATTTTTAAATTTAAAAATTTTTACGTTTCTCTTTGACGATTTCTTTAAAACAATAAATTTTTAACTTAAAAAAATGTTCTTTAAAACAGAAAACAATTTAATCAAAAGAAGAAAAAACAGTAAACACTTTTATAATCATTAAAATAATTAAAAATATTTACATATAATTAAATCAATAAAAATATATAATTAAAATTTGTTCTAAAAGACAATGCCATTGAGACATTTAAAAATCTGACAGCAATGGAATGTGGTCTCTTAAATACAGGAGCGTAAATATTTTAGGTAGTTGTGCCCAAAAGTAAAAGTTTCGATAAGAGAAACTTGATTTTAAAAAAGAAAAAGGAAAATACGAAACTCCATGTAAATTTATAATTTAACGAATTTGATTTCTAAAAGAGCTTTTAGTTGGATTCATTTCAAGGAAGCGGGTTATTTAATTCTTCCTTTTATATAAAAGTACATTCACAATTGTAATCATCCCTTATATAATTATATTACATAACAACCCTTAATTACATTTTCATTATAAAATTTAATCAGTTCAGTTATTAAATTAAATTTTCTTTTCTTCTTCAATTTAACCATTTTTCAAAAAAAAAAAAAGAACAAAAATTACACTTCTGAAAAATTAATAAATTACAATGACTTCGACGATTTTCATTTACTTTGTATTTAGTTCATTATTTATTTAAAACGTCGGAAGAGATCTTTATTACAAAATAAAATAAGAAAATTACATAACGATAATAACAAACAAACGAAAATATTATAATTTAATTTTTCAATTCTCTCAACATGGTCTCTCTTTTATTTTTTTCTTGAAATTAAAAAATTGAAAATATTTCATGTTTTTCTTTTTACCCCAGTTATCAGACATTAATAATAACGTAGTATTAGTAGTATTAAGTAGTAGTAGTAATAGTAAACTATTTACCAATCATTTAATTACATCTTATTAAAATTAAGTGGTAGATTGATTTACAGCTTCTGTTGTCGTGCTGGTTGAATCTGAAATTGGTTTTTCTTGTATTTCAAGCCAAGGCAGCCTCTTTTGTAATTCCAGTCTGTAATTATAATTATATTGGATAATATTTTTTTTTCGAATAATTCGAGAAAAAATTCAATATTGAAATCCTTTTTTTGAATAAATATAGAAATAATTTCTTATTTGAAAATTTAATAAATTTTTTTTACCTGTATCTAGGATGACTGATGGCATAAACGTAAGGATCTAAACAAGCAACTGCTTTACAACAACATGCTGGAATCATTGTCACTGCAGGAGTTAATAAAGTTTTATTTCCAAATGCTCCAATCATCGCCATCACTCCATAAGGTGTCCAAGCAGCAACGAACAGAAAACAAATCGTCAACGCAGCCTTTGAGTAAAAAAACAATTTACTATTTAATTTACCTTATTACTTTTTTAAATTTAAATTTTTACTTTGATTATTAATTTCATGAATAATTAATTTAATATTATTACGAACCTTGGCAATGCGAATTTCCGCCGATTGACTATTGGTATTGGCATTGCTCCTCAAACTTTCGACATTCATTTTTTTCGCCTGTTCTCGTAACGCTTTCTCATGATCCATTACATGGCCAACCATTCGACTGTAATAAAATATAATTAATGTCATTGGTATTACATAGGAGAATGTAAATATTGTTCCAGTAAACATTCGAATTTCAGGTGTGTCAGTTATATAATCGAAAGTGCAACTTGTTAAAAATCCTTCTGGAGCAAAACGTCCCCACACACCCATCACAGGCATTAAACCCCAAGGAATTGTGTATGACCATATTAGAACAATGAATAACATCACTTGACCACGTGTTAATTTTCCATCCAATGGTCTTGCTATTGTACTTTTGAAAAAGAAAAACAAAAATTAGTTTTTTTGAAATATTAATTCAAAAACAATTTTTTCCTCTTTTTACCTGTATCTATCGTACGCTATCGCTGCATTTGTTGTACCAGCACCAATTCCCGATAAAGTGCCCATAAAGCCAAAAATTTGACATCCCAAATTTCCAAGTGCAAATCCCGTGTTAATTGAATTGTAAATGAAAATTGGAGTCTTGAGCATCATTATAAAATCACATATCGCCAAATTTACCACAAACATATTGGACGGTGTTCTTAATGACTTGGCCCTAAAAGAAAATTAATATTACATTTTTTTATCGAATTATTTATTTTATGATCAATTTTAGTTAAATAAAAAAAAACCCCCTTTTTATTTGCAAAAAAATTACTTACGAGCAAAAAATCCAAATAACGAGTCCATTTCCAAGAAGAGCAATGAAAGTGAATAATACGTAAAGAAGTGCCAATAGATAATGAAGGGAGGGGTTTGGCTCAGGATAAACTAGCCAATGTTCTGGTATATGAACCAATTCTTCTGGTGGTACGTTCCATCCTAGCAGACGTGGTGCCCCTGCCGGGAGTCTCGCTTCCCAGTGAACACTACTATTGTACATAACGGTTGCTCCATTCGCCAAAGACCCCCTCAACCTTGATTGCTCTAAACTCGATCACTTCTTTTTATACACAACTTGGATAACGCGGCCCACCGCAAATCCATGCGCTTAGGGCTTTCTCTTACTTGAGACCTTAATTCAGTTTATTTAAGGGGCTTCGCAAAGCTAAGTCGCGGATTATCGTTTTTCATCTTGCGATAGTCAGCAGAAAAATCCCTTGAATGTCAAACTCATCCTTCAAAATCCCACCCTTCCAATTTTCCTTTTTTTAAAAAAAAAAAAAAATTCTCAAACCTGATTCCCATTAAACATTAAGAAAGGAAATTATCAATAAAAAATCAATTTTTAGAAATAAAACCTTTTAAAAACTTTATTACATAAAATTGACAGAGAATTTTCTTTTTTTAAAAATTTAAATAAATTTAGTCTTTTTTTTAAAATAATTTTTTAAAATATTTATCTCAATATAGAAAAATAGAATTTAGCTAAAATTTTTTTTTATTCACGACCTTGACGTTCAGTCGATTCATCAGCTAATGTATGAGCTGGTAAATAAATGGACGGATTATTTGGATCGCGTAAAAGAGGATTTCTCAATGTTAAAGTTGCAATGCCAACGCTACTATAACCCTTATCGTATAACGAACAATATGGTACATTAAAATCAAGTAGAAATTGCCAAATTTGATTGTAATTCCAATCGAATATTGGATTCACTCTTATTAATGATGGCCATCCTGCATCAGTTTGACAAAATGGTTCAAGATTCTCAGCATTTGGATCAGCTTTACGTGTTCCCATTAGACATGCACGTAATTTTGAATTTTCGTTAATAAACTCCGTCAATGCCTCCTTCATTGGACGATTTTTTCTCACTACTCGTAATCCATAATAGGCAGCTGCTTTCACAACAAATTCATCTACCTATTTAATAACAAATTTTTATAATTTAAAATTCCTATCTTTTTTTTAATTTTATAATAAAACCTCATTTTTTTACCTCAGGAAATGAATCGCCAATTATGTAGAGACTCAATAGAGGTTCAGCTCCTTTTAAGGCAAGAAAAGCGGATGTTAAATGTAACACTGCGGTACAATCTTTACCACCGTTGAATGAAAGAAAAACTTCGTTCGAAGAAAATCTGTAAAAAAAAAATTTCTGTCAATACTAAATAATATTTGAAAAAAAAAAATTGATATTACCTATCAAAACACTCTTCAATAATAGACCAACTGCGTTTTAAATGATGATAATTTTGAATTTTTGCAAATACTTTTTCGGCTAACGATCGATTAAATTTACTATCCCTCAAGCGACACGGTGGAAATGAATTTTTAAATTCTTCTTTAGCATTAAGAACATCTTCTTTTTTACCCTCAAATGTAATTCTCGTTGAATGTTTCGAACCCATTTGTTGTGGATAACTTCCAACGTTAACGCGATCTTTCCAACGTTCTGCAAATGCATCTAAACCCTTAACTAATTTTAATTCCTTTAAAGCAATATCCAATTCGTCTATATACAATGGAACACCAACTTTTAAACGAGAGACAATAATTTCGTCAACTGCCGATTGAAAATATTTCGGTGAACCCGGTAACACATAGACATTGTTAACCTTTATCACAGGAAATTTAACTGAAAAAAAAATTAAAATTTCTAAATTAGAATTTTTTTTTCCTACAAAAAAGTAATTAATATTTTATAAACTTACATGATTTTATGTAAATCACTTCACATGGTGATGGTGCCATTGCATAACGTTCAATTTCTGATTCATTTGGTAATAATTTTTCATAAATATCTAATAATTCTTGATTTTTCTCAATTTCTAATTTAAAACATTTAGCCACTGCCTCATAAGTTAAATCATCGTGTGTTGGTCCCACACCTCCAGCTGTGAAGACGAGGGGATAATTTTTCGAGACTTCTGATAATTCTTTGGCTATATCGAAAACCTATTTGTATTATAAATTCAATTTTAATTAAATATTTAAAGATCCCAAAAACAAAAGAGAATAGAAAAATTCTTACTGAATCTGGAATTATGATAACTTTATGAAATTTAATTCCTATTGCATATAATTTCGAGGCCAAATAAGATGTGTTTTTGTCTTCAACTTGACCTCTTAAGATTTCATCTCCAATTACAATCAATACTGCTGTGTTTTTCTCCATAATTGCAAATTTATTTTTTTTTCTAAACACAAAATAAAATGGAAAAAATTTTGTAAAAAAAATTCATTTTATTAGAAAAAACAAAAATTTTATTCTACATTTTGTACATTTAAATTTTCATATCTTTAACTAAACTAGCTGTTGATTCTGTCTCCATTTTTGTCGATTTCTTATTAGTTTGAACAATTTTTTTTTTCATCATTTTTTCCGATTTTTTTGAATCTTTCGCCTGATAGACTTCTTTGCGTAATTCCGCCAGCTGTTGATTTATTAAATTGGTTTTATTTTTGTTTGGATTTTTCACATTGTCCAGCTATGAAAAAAAAATAAAGGGGAAAAAAAATATATGACTATTACATTAATTTTAGATAAAAACAAAAATTACAACCTGACTTACATTTTTCAAATTGAGTGACACCTTTTGCGCTTTTGATTTAATGCGAAGTGTGCGAGATCCTGCAACTTTGAAAACATTTTTTGTTCTGTTGTTTGATCCTTTATTTTTAGCCATCTTTTTCCCTAGGACAATAAAATAAATTATTATCATTAGCATTTTATTTTGGCTTTCTTCATTGCTGGCTCCCCGCCTTTTAATATTGTTTGCGTTAAAAAGAATGAGACTCTCATCATATCTTTATTTGGTGCAACATTACGAACATAATGTACATCTATCAATGTTTCATGACATAAAGTCGTGTTAATTTTCTCCTCTATTAATAATTTTGCAATATCAGTCGCTTTTTCATTTTTTTCAACTTTCACAAAACAATAGACGTGAATTTTTGTTTTTTTAGTTGTAATTTTACAAATTTCCTCATCATTAAATAAATCATGAAATACATCTAAAAATTCAACAGCAATCGCAGGTAAATTCATGACAATATGTTCATATCCCGGTTCATTAGTTTCTCGTCGTTTTAAAATATCATTTTTCACTTCATTTCTTAAAAAATCCCTACCATCCTTATTAAATGCAGATAAATTGCCTTTTGTTTTATTTAATTTTGAATTTATCACAAGCCAATTGTAAGAATTTGGATTTAAATCATTGGCAAGTACTTTAATTCCCTTTCGTGAAGCTGGAATAGAAAATGGTCCAACGCCAGCAAATATATCGTAGAGTACATCTTGTGGTTTTAAATATTCAACAATTCTCTCGTGTTCCGTTCCCAATCGTGGATTCCAATAAACTTTCGCAAAGTCAAATTGATATCGACATCCATTTTCTTTGACTTCGACAATTGTATTTTCTTCACCGGCTAAAAGTTCCATGGCAAAATGTCGAAATGTCGTGTCAATAATGTTTGTTTTATTAACAACTGTCTTTGCAATTGGTAATTTATCGATAATAATTTGACCAATTATATTTTTATAAGGCAATTGAAAATCACGTAGATTTAAATGAACAATATGTCCAATTTGACTAAATGATCCTGGTGCTTCAAGATTTTCGGGAAAAATTGCTTTCAATGTTTCATCTAATTTCCAATTTTCATAAGTCACTTGTAAATTTAATTGAGAAAATGTTCCATTTTCTTGTTTTATTATTTCTCTGTCATTGTCAGTGAAATCTTCAAATTTGTTCAATTTCATTGGATCGAGATAAATTATTGTCAAATTATCATTGGTGACAATTGATTTGAATTGTCTCATTTTTAGAAGATATTTTTTAACAATTGAAATAATTTTTGAAATATTTGTTGTTTCTTGAAATTGTAAAGCGGGAATTTTAAATGATGTTTTAAAGGCATCGCGATCTAAATTTTTCATACCACGAACAGAAGCTGGTGGAACCAGCAAAGAAGCCATTGTACTTTGATAAAATCGACAATTAACACTCAATGCACAGTGTTTTAATATGGAAACAAAATATCCACTCATGTGATAACACCAAGTATTGCCAGATATGCTGAATCCTTCTTTGGAGGCCAAAAACCTAAAAGCATTTATTTCATTTATAAATGATTATTTTCTTTTTAATTATATAGCAAAATATTTTAATAAAACTTTTCTTAAAAATGTCTTTATTCTAATGAAGAGAAAAGCAATAAAGCAGGATTCAACAATTATCTGGCAATAATAGCTACACTTAATAACCTCAATATTTTTTTTAATTTTGACAGAAATTTACAAATCGAAATTAAAAAAATATTTCATATTTACAAATTGCAAGTTTGTTTTAATTAATTAATCATAAACGAATTATTTTTTTATTATTACTATTAATATTAAATTGATAAACTTAACCTAATTTTCTAACCTCTTTTGACAACTGTCAAAATAAATTTTACGAATATAATACTTATAACTTATAAAAGTTCCATAAAATTGAATAAAAAAAAAACTTAATTTATGAATGATAATTGTTAACTTTAAACACGTGTTCAGTTTCAAAGTTTAAATGCATTTTTTTTAAGATAAGAAAGTAAATATAGGTCAGTTATTTATATACCTTTTGATAAGTTGAAAATAAATTTGCACACTATTCGCTCAATCCAATAGCTTCCAATTTTAATACTAAAATGTCTTTTTTTTTAAATAATTATTTATTAAAATAAATTTATTAAATTAAAACTTAAGATTCCGTATGCTTTGTATGTCGATGAATAATAAAAACGACGACATGTCACGTGTTACACTTACGACACATATAAAATTGTCACCTTTCTAGCTGGAAGTTGTACTTCTAAAATTTGACACATGCATGGTACGAGCGCTGACAAGTTATATTACGTCACTTGACAATGACATACAGCGCTGTAGTTTGTAAACAATCAAAACTACTTTATAGTTTCCATTCTTCAGAAAATTTAAATTTCATGCCAATTTCATATTTGGCTTGTTTTTTGCCGGAGCTAATTTTCTTAATAAACAATAGATTTATTAATTTATCTCTATTGAATCAAATTGATAATATTCGAAAATGAGTAAAGCACATCCACCTGAGTTGAAAAAGTAAGAAATTTATTAATAATCATTAGTACTATTATAATTTCAATTTTTTTTGTAATTTTTGAGGTTAGAAAGCATAACGCGCACTTATTTCGTTTATTAATATTTTTACTATTTTCCAGGTATATGGACAAAAAATTATCTCGTGAGTAATTGTATTTTTATATCTGATATGTAATGAAATATTAACAATTATTATAAAAATTTATTTTCTTTTCTATAGTGAAGCTTAATGGGGGAAGACATGTTATCGGTATTTTGCGTGGATTTGATCCTTTCATGAATATGGTGGTTGATGAAACTATTGAAGAATGTAAAGATGGTTCGAAAAATAATATTGGAATGGTTGTAAGTAGATTTTTTAAATACAAATCAAATTTATAAATTAGAGTAGTATTTTAAAAATTATTTTTGGAGTTAAATTGATTTTTTTTAATAGAAAATTTTGTTTTATTCCAAAACAGGTAATTAGGGGCAATAGTGTGATAATGTTAGAAGCACTGGACAGAATATGACCTGCAATTATTTTAGATTATGAAATAAAAGTCATTTAAATTTTGATTATTTCAAAGCTGTAAAATAATATCATTCCGATGATAACGATACAATTTATATTATTTTTATTTAATCTGAAGTCTTATTTTCTGTAAGTATAATGTATACAACTAAATAAACTCATTTCTTTTTTTATATATAAAATTTATATTGATTATTTTTTTTTGTTTTTGTAATACATCATGTATATAATTCTATTGTGTAAGCTTACAATCGAGAAAACGGTACAATCAAACAAAAGTAGTGTTCAACTTACAAATTAATTCTAGGTGTATTGAATTTTGAAAAAGAATTTTCTTATAAAAATTTCATTTTTTTTTCGAGTGAGGCTCACACTGAATGAGTATATTTTCTACCTAACTATCTACATTAGAAGTAATCGCTCGCAATTCACGTGGATTACAAATAGAAATTACAAAGATTCAGATCACGTAATAAGTCGAGATTTTATTTATCTTGTTTTGCGAACTATACAATTAAAAATGTTGACACTTATTGTTTTTCAAAAGTGACATTGAATTTATATTAATTTACATATATATTTGTTTTTGTTTTTTCGTGGAAAACTATTATTTACAGATTGAGAATCTACCAATTACATCTTTCCATTGGTGAAATACTAAGGTGACAATATTAATATATATATATATTTATGAATATAAAATTCTTTTGATACAAATAAACTACAAGTAATATGCGAGCAGACTTAAAAAAAAATATCTTAAAAATAAATTGAAATGAGTCGTTTTTTCACTTGTGTCATTAAAGCAGAAATCTATTAAACTTCGCATTGACAATAAATTTAATTAAATAAAACTATATTATATAAAACTAATTGTAAAATTGTACAATAAATTATATAATTGATTGTAGATCAATCAAATAAAAAATAAATTATATAGATTTTTTTTTTTTGATAATAAAATAAACATTAAATAAAAAAAAATTGGAAAATATGATAAATATTGCAAAATTTAATATTAACATTTTGAAGTTTAATTGATAACTATTTTAATGAAATGATGCGCTTAACAATAGGCAAGTGTACAATAAAAATATATACGATGTTTCAAAATTGTTTTTCGGCAATGACTATTTAATATAATTTGACTACCATTAAAAATTTACTATAAACAAAGAAATCAGACTATAAGAACCACGATTTTGGTTGAAGCTACAAAAAAAAACAATCCCTCAATGAAAGTAAAACAAAAAAAAATATTCCAAGTTGTGAAGGAACATTTCAAATTTAGAAGGCACACTGTGTGTTTTTTTTTTAATATCATAATTCCTAATTTAGGAACATTTATGTTTAAAAGCGGATTACGATTATAAAAATCTGCGTAATATTAACATTTATATTATTAATGTCGAACTATTCTCACATTTCATTGCATTATCAAAACGAATGCAAATAAAAACAAAAAAAAAACAATATCACGTTTTAAACTATTTTTTGATTTTTATATGAAAATTACATTTTTTTTTTTTTTGAAAAATTTTTGAAAAAAAAATACGAAAAGTTCGTGGTACTTCTCGAATAAAAAATAACAATCAAACTTTTGAGTATCTTTAAAAATGATGTACTTGTTTTTCTAATTGGGATTGTATTGAATGTCAGTCGGTAATAATTTTTTTTTTTGTCTTGTTAGTGGAAAAGTCGAAAAAGCAAAAACTATATTGCTTTATTAAGATTAATCATAATATTACACAACGCGTTTTTGACTAAAAAATAAAACTAAGATTAAATTTTTACAAAAAAAAGAAAAGAATATCGCAAAATTAATAAATAATTAAAAATCTATATGGAAAACTAATTTTTTTTTTTTTTTTTTTCAATTCGAAGTCTTTTCTGTAACATTTCCACACATTCATTTTTCATTTATACTCTTAACATCTACAATATCTGTACATAAAATATTCGTTTCTTTTTCTATTTTTAATTGTTCTTTAGAAAACATATAATATATTATATAATCGACAAAAATTTCCTGAAAAAAATATTCTAAATGATGCCGAAAAATATCTACAAATTTTTGTTGTTCTTTTCGTTTCTTTGTAAGTAAAATTTCGTCAATCTTTTATCAACAATACTGTCTAAACTTATAAATTTAACTATTACAAAAAAAAAATAAAAACGTTTTTAAAAAAATTTTAACGTTTACACAAAACGTTTGTTTGGAAAAAAATGACAAAAAAAAATTGTATCAAATTCTACCGGGCGATTCACTGAGATAAAAATTATTTACAATAAAAATTCTTCTAAATTACATTGACAAATAAACTCGTATACGTTTTGAAAAGTTTGCGTCCCATGATAAGTTTTAAACAAAAAATATTTCTTTCTTTCTCTCTAAATATTCAGAAACTAGAATAAAATTTAATGAGCATTAATTGAAAACATAAAATACATTTCGGTTTCTTTTTTTTTTTAACAATTTCAGTTAAAACTAAAATATATTTCTAAATATATTTCTAAAATGATAATCAATTTTTCGTATTAAAGCAAAAATTAAAATCTCTATTATAAAAAGAAAAAACATTTTTTTTCATTATTTTCATAAAAAAAAGCTATTAAAAATAAAAAATTGTAATTTTTGAGAAATAAAAATTAAAATTCGTAAAACAAAAATATTCATAAGAAACTAAGAATACAAATTTGCAATTTTGTACAATTTTAAGCTTGCATTTTGTAAAAGTTCAAGTTAGAATAATCTAAAATTGTAAAGTAATCGTAAAAAAATATATACAAAAACAAAATTAAAATTTGTATAAAACTTGAAACTTTTACAGATTCGTTTTTTTTTTTTTTTTTTTTTTTTTGGTGATATATAAAAATGTTTTAGTATTATTTTAACACAAACCATTTTAGTGCTGTTGTGACACATTGAAATACTCAAAAATCTTTTCGAATATATTCTAATTCTTGAGAATGTTTAGGCCCACTTTCTAATAAGAATTTTTTGTTCGTATCTACGTTGCCTCACCACATTCAAAAGTTGTTGATTTTGATGATTCTTTATCCTCCCTTTTTCCATTTTCTGATACTCTATTTGAATACGCTGAAAAAAAGAAGATAAAATGTACTTTTTTTTGCGAATAATTGATATAAAACAAAAAAAAAAAAGAAACTCACAAAGCTTGAGCGCGGCTCTTAGACAAATATTATTATGTTCCGAGAGTTCATCCTCAGTTTCAAAATCTTCACCACAGCTAGGACATTCATAGGAGCCTCTTGGCAATTCTAATTTAATATCCTCTTCATCAATTTCAGTTTCATCGCCGTCTTCATTAATTTCCAATGCCCCCTCATCATCACTGTCATTATCATCCTCCGAATCAATTCCATTACTCTCCTCCTTAATAAATGTCATTTCATCTTGAATTGAAATTTGATCGCTAATTGAATCAGTCTCATCAAAATTAATTTCTTGCTTAATTCCATTACTATTGTTGATTATTATTTTTTCACCGGTTTCATTTGCAAAATCACAATCAATTGGACATTTCATTTTTGTGCATTCATTGTCAATTTTTGTTTTTGACATTCCATGTTGTACCAATAAATGTTTTTTGTACCTTAATTTTGGCACTTGAATACGACATTGAACACAAACAACTGAGCCATGTTTCTTTTGATGTTCATAAAATGCATTACATGTCTTGTACATTTGTTTACATTCCTCGCACATTAAACGTGTTGTTAATTTCATATGTTCTTGTAATTCAGTTTCTGATGAACAAATATTACCGCAAACCTCACAGCGTACTTCACCTTCTTTATGTTCTTTTGAGACATGTTTTTTAATATCATATTTATTGCTAAATGGCTCTTCACAAAGTTTACATGAGAATAACATTTCGCCACGATGTCGTGCAACGTGCATTTTAAAATACCAATCGGTTGAAAAACGTTTTGGACAATATGTACAATTAAACATTCTACCGGCTCTCTTTTTTCGTAATCGAGCATTTTTTTTCCAAATTCTACTCTTTGCCGCTCTTGTTTCTTGAATTGAATTGGGGATAATTTTTACATCAGTCGGAGTAGCCGGTTGTAATACTCGAAATTTGATAATATTTGGCTGCGGTGGTTTTTGCTCTTGTTTTTGTTGTTCTTGTTGCTGCGGTTGTTGTCGTTGTTGCTGCTGCTGCTGCTGTGTTTGAGCCGGAGTTGGAGCTCGAATACCAGTATCGGCCATTATACAGAACCTAGGGATACCTTGTGTTTGATGTAGAAGTGATGGTTGTGTTTTGAGATTAGCAATTGGCACAACTCGAATTGGAGTAAGAAATGGTTTCGGTTGTATGGGGGTTGTGACAATTTGCTGTGACATTAGCCAATCGTTGATTGACATTGGTTGAACAAAACTACCTTGAGGAATTCCAGTGACTTTAATAAAAGGATTTTGTAACATTTGAGATAATGTACCAGTTGTTGTATTATTTGTATTTTCAATTTGTGGTCGAATTGGTTTTAATGGTGGTGGTGATGATCGACCCTCAGCTCCAATTTGCTTTCCAATAATAACATTTGATTGAGACAACATTATTGGAAGTTTAGGTAAAATACTTCTAAATACATCTTTAATATTTGGATATTGTTGTTGATTACCCGAATTACTTGGTACAGTGGTGATTGTAATAATTGGCGTTTGTTGTGGTGCTGTTGTTTTTGGAATGACAATTAATTCCTCATTATTTTGTAATGCCTCCAATGCTTTACTGTAACCATTAACTGGATCCATGTAATCATTTTTTTTTAATTTAGCTGCTTCGAGTAATTGAATTTCACGTTCGCGTAATTTTTCACGTAAAACTTGTGCGCCATCATTTTCATTGTGTCGATAAGCATTTTTTCTTTTACAATTCCGATGATGAATTCGCGATTTATTGTATTTTAATCTAAGACCACAAATATCACAGCAACCACGTCTATCATCAACACGATGAAGTTTAATTAATACACGTCGACAACGATCGTGCTCGATACTTAATGAATCGCATTTTTCATTTTTACAATGTTTTGCAACTGGTGCATTTATTTCATCGTCGTCAATATTAATTGCAAGCAATGGCTCAACTCCATCTTGATCAACATATTGTTGTATGTTTACATCGCAAATTATATTTTCACATGGCTCAAGATGATTGCAATTTTTTGTTTTACGTTTTATTGGCACAAGTGCAATTTCCGATTTTCCCTCATTTTTCGATGGCAAAAGAGTTGAGTCGTCAATAATTTTCTCTGTATTTGTGGTTTTGACTGCGTGAATTGATATGTCAGGCTCAAATGGATTGTGCAAATCATTGTATATTCCATTTCTCTTGTCAGAAAAGCCATTGGTGTTTGTTAAATTTATATCTGATGGATCATCAAGAGGAATTGTTTTTATAATAATGTTCGGTTGATTGAAAAGACGCTTTACTGCATCCGATTTCAAAACCTATAAAAAAGAAAAAGTAAAATATATTTTCAAATATCAAATTTTGATAAGAAAATAAAATTTTTAATACCCTACTAAATTAATTTTAATGATTTTATTATAAATCCAAAAAAATATACGAAATAGTAGAAACCGGTTTTAATCGCAGACGCTTTTACGATAGCATAATTTTTGCATTCTTTTTTTTTTTTAAATTTACTTTTTCATCGAATCTTTCAAGGCAACAAAAATATAAAATTAAAATTTATTTGCGTTTAAATGGCCTAAACAGATAAAATTAAATTGTATTTACAAATTTGTAAATAAAAAAATCAAATTATAATTTACAAAATTTTTTTTTCAAGGAAAATTATATTTTTTAAAAGAAAATTCAGTATACACGCAAATATATCTGATTTGATCAATGAACCGTTTTAAAGCTCTTGGTAACTATAGCAACTTACTCGTTAAATAGTTGACTAATAAAAATTATTTAGAAAATAAAAAAAAAACAATAAATAAAGAAGAAATTATATTCTTAAAAAATTCTTATCCAACAATGTGTCACAAAAAAAAATTATTAATCAATTTTTAATAAGATTTATTAGTTTAATATCATATAACCTCAATTTAACAACTAGCACAACTATTTTTAAAATTAAAACATATTTGTTAATTATCACGTTTTTGAAAAAAATTTTCTAAGTCGTTTTTTCTTTAATGTTCATTTTGTAAAAAAAAAAAATTGCAAGTACCTCAGGAAGTAGTCAATTATTATATATAGGCTCTTAAAAACAAAGGAAATAATGAATTTCTATAATGAAATTATTTATATACATACTTCAGAAAGGGCGGAGTTGTTGCCAATTTTGGAACAAGAAATATTGCTGTTTCGACTTAAAATGTTTGGCACAGATTTATAAGACATCTTTCAAGGTTTAACTGCAGGGCAAAATAGAGAAGGGTGCAGAAATCTTATAGTGTTGACAAAAAATTATACAAATCACAAAAACGACGCTTTTTCACTGATGATTTATTATTTCCAAAAGAATAAAGTTGTATTTTAAAAATGTCCTTTGTTGTCGACACATTGTCAAAAATTTGGATTTCACATTAAATCCGAAATAAATTGACTTTGTAATTTTTGTTTTAAACCACCGCTCACAAATTGAGGTTAGTTTAGACTTTATGTATAAATTGTTATAATTTATTTTCAAACTATTAAAATACACATTAATTTTTTAACACAATAGTTGAATAGTGCAAATTTCGAGTTCCACTTCGGCGTCGGCCATGTTTTTTTTGGTGGGAAAATTACTCAAAAAATGGGGGAAGAGAAATGGCAGAACTGGGCGACAATTAAAACATCCCGTCGTTTGCACACACCACCTTCTACAATACAAACACTTTTTATATTTAAACACAAATATTATACGATATACACACACACGTTGTTATTTTTACGATTAAATAGATGAATTTCCTTGTGTTATTAAATTATGTTATTATTTTTTTTTTTTGCACTAGGAAACGAGACAAAACTTTTAACAAAGCATAGTCCCGCGTCAACAAACTTCTGAATTCGCCTTTCTGAACCAATTTTTTTTAACAGTTGTTCGCCAACGCCAACACGAGAGGACTACGCATGCGCTATTACTAATTTTTATCTTTCGAAAAAATCCCACTTCGATTCTCCGATGGTCCTCGACGTATTTCCGAAAATTGGCGTTTTCACCCGAATCAAGGTAAAAATATTTCACTTTGTTTAAAGTATTGCAAAAAAAAATTTATTTTTTTAATCACGTTTTTGCATAATTTTTTTTTATTTAGATATAAAAATTCTCTAATTATCAAAAATTTAGAATATTTTTTAATTATAATAAAAATAATTTTCTTATTTTTTTGCCAATAAAATATTTTTAAAGGAATATTAAATTAATTTAATTTAACATTTTTATGAATTGAACATATTTATTTAAATTTGAATTGATCCCCAATTTCCGGTTATTGATGATTGGTATTTCATTGTTTTCTTATTGGTCATTAAGTTAAAAAAAAAAAGCGCGCGTAAAAACGGTATTTTTGTTTAATTTTAATTATTACATTTAAATTATTATTTTATGAATAGTTTTTTTTTTTTTTAAAAAAGCAAGAATTGTTTTAATAAATTTTTAGTTAATAAAAATAAGGAAGGTATTATTAATTTTTTCAATATATATTTTATATTGAAGAATTTATTATAACATATACTTATACGTTATGAAATTTACATTGATTTTCAAAGTTTGAAGACATTAATGGATTTATGAATATAGCAAAAATGATGTATCTTTGGTATTGGGTATTGAGTGCAATACATGAACTTTCTAAGTGTTTAAAAAAATATTTTTCAATGAAATTAATCATAAAATAATTTGACTAACAAATGCTTGATTTTGAATAAATAAATTTTTTTTAATTTTCAATTTACTCGTGTGTCTATAAAAATAAGTCACATTTTTTTTTTACTAATAAAAAATAAAAAAAATTGTATTTACCTAATCAAAATCAAGCATTTGTTAATTAATTTCTATTGTTTTACTGAAAATTATATCCTAAATAATTGTAATACAATAATTGATTGTCATGAATATAAAACGTGTGATAAAAAGAAAAGAAAATATCTTAAACTTGAGAAATTAATTTTAATATAGTCTATTATATACAATATTTATTGCATTTTCTTTTTTATTGAACGTACACGAAATTTTTAAAAAATATAAATTTTATATTTTTAAAACAATTTAAGTAATTTGCCAAATTGAAAAATGTTAAAATATTATATTAAGAGATCATTTTTAACATTTTTTTAGTAAGATTTTTCGAAATTTTGATTTTTACGTTTCATTCAAAAAAAAATTTAATTCATAAAAGTAATAAAAGTTTCAAATATATTACATTTATAATTCTATTATAATTATATAATTATATAATTATCAATTAATTATATATTATTTATGTTAAATATATATATTTACATTATATTTTAATTGTTATAAATTTAATTTATAATTCAATAAATGAAATTTTCAAAAAATCAAATAATTAATAATTAATCGCGTACTGTTCAATAAAAAATGGCTGTGCCACAATGATATTAAGAAACTAATCTCTAAAGCTGCACATATATATATAATAAAGTGTTTATTCTATTATAACTTATGAGCACGGCGTTACGTTGTACAAAAATTTCTTAATCTACTCTTTTTTATAAACATATTTACAAGGTTCAGTCAAATAAATATTTGCTAACTTTTACATTAGTAGCGTTTGCACATATAAAAATTAAATATTTAGTTTTTTTTTCATATTCATCAGAATATAAAATTAAATCCATTATTAATCTCTTTTTGAAATTATTTTCATCCTATTAAAAAAAAAAAACCTATCTGAAAGTCTCAACGTTCCATTAAATGAAAAATAATGTCAAAAAATTGCAAATGCGTGAAAAAAGTAATTTCAAACTATTAATTTTAAAGAACATTTAGAAATTTAAAAAAAAACGTTAAGAACTGTCAAAAATTAAAATAAAAGTTTTTTAAAAATTTCTATAATTTTTTGGAATATTAAAAAAAAAATTGGAAATATTTTAGAAAATATTTTATATTATAGTTAAAGTATTTTTTTCTATTATTGAAAGAAAAAAGTTAAATAAGATATGATTTGTTTGAATTTTTCATTTTGTCAAGTTTTCAAAACTTGGTCGTTCTTTACAATCTTGATTTGCTTTTCGTTCATACTTATTATCACAGAGTTTGCAAATTTATTCACTTACATATTCATTGTATCCTATGTATTTTGTTTTCGAGTGAAACTTTGAAAAATAATGCTACCAGTTTGCTTTTTTTGTCATTATTTTCTGTGTACATATAAAAAAAGCTTTATGTATACATATGTATATATTTATATATATATATATATATATTAATAACTAAAATATTCCTAATGGATAACAATTATTATGCAAATTCAATGGAATATCAACAACCATTGAATACATTTGAATTTTTTTTTTCAATATACATTTCATTTTTACACTTTTCGAACACAGTGTTATCGTTCATAATTTTTTATTTTTAATATATCTATTTGTTGAGATATTGAGAAATGCTTTTTTTTTATTTGGTTAAAATGTTATTTTTTGCATTACGTTTTAAACTTTATGGCATCTTTTATTTTTTAAAATTGATTCAACTCAAGATTTTTCTTTTTTACAAAAAAGAAATTTAACTGAATCAATTCTCAAAAATTTATTCACTACGTGTGATAAATCACTTTCAATAAAGTTGAAATTTGTGATATTTAGAAAATGGAAAATTTTTCCATTTCTCAAAAACATAAACTTCACACTTTCAGTCGCTTTTAAATTCTTATTTACATTTAAAAAAAATAGAAGAAAACAAAAAACCAGACTAGAATCTCAAAAACAAAAGCGCCAATCGCTTAATTATAATGAAAATTAATTTCATTTCTTATCAATAGCATTTTGTGTCTCTAATGATTTTCCAATAATGTCTTTTTTAATACCAAGTGGCAGCGATTTTGTCATTGATAAATTTTTAACAGGTTGCTCAAATTTCTGTTGTAATGATGCAACATTTGATTTATTGTTGGCTAATTTATTAACTAAACTATTACTATTATTACTGGTTTTAATTCCAATTTCCGTGGATTTTGTCTCATTTTTTCCATCCTTATTAGATTGTTGTACTTTTGTCATTACATTATTAAAACTGGCAGTTGTTGTTATTGGTGATTTTTGTTTTTCGGCAAAACTCGCAGCTTTTGAAATAAGTCCCGTTGGTTTTGGTGGCATTATTGGTGTTTTTAAATTTTTCACCACTCCCGATTTTTGATGATTATTTATTTTTGCTGTAACAATTTTATTATTCATCAATACATCTGGTGATTTTGTACTATTTTGAATTGGATTCGAGCAACTTGTAACAACATCGGGACTAATGAATCGTTCTTTTGAATTTGAAGGCACACTTTTTAATGAATTTTTCTCCGAATTTGTCGATTTATTATCGAAACTATTTGATTTGGAGAGACTTTTTTCTGATTTTAAACTCGAATCGGAATTTTGTCGACTTCTTAAACCAATGGGTTTGTCAATTGATTTTGATGCTTTTTCGGATTTTTGTATAATTTTCGTTTTTGAAATACTAGGCGATGTTTTTGTACGTAGTGGTGGTTTTTTGTCCTCTTCTTTTTCATTTTTTTTTTCTCTATTTTTTGTGTCGATTTTTTTGATTTTTCCATCATTTGACGTGAATGGTTTGTAAAAATTTTCAATTGGTTTCATGCCCAATTGTTTGGACATTTGTTGATTGATATTTGAATTTGGTGATTTGTCATCGGTTTTTAAATGAATCGGAATGTTAATAGCCGAGGGTAGAAGATAACCGGAACTTGTTGTTGAACTTGCGGAATTGAAATTTCCCGATTCGGAATTAGAATAAATGCTTTCGGGTGATTTATGATTTGTTGAATTAACGTAAGTTTCATCGCTCTCAGATTTTTCCTTTCCTTTTTTCTTTTTCTTTCTCGCCAAAGTTGATGTTGAATAAATGGAATCGAAATTTCTATTCGATATTTCGGAGACAATTTCCGAGAGTAGTCCCATTGAATCAATTGGACCGTCAACGGTATTTTCAATTGGTTTTGGAGCTTTATACTCTGTATCCTCGAGTTTTGTTTGTTTATTTTTTTCAACAGGAAGTGATTCTTCAATCACGGCGTAAATATTGTCGCTCGATTGTGATTCCTCGGTTATTTTTGTGAGCGAAGCATCGGGTACAAGATTCATACAATCATCATAAGTATTGTCAGTGGGAATATTTGGCTTCACTGATGGTGTTTGATAGCCGGGTAATCCGGGAATTTTCATTCCAGTTTCGAGTTTATTTGATGATTGTTTTGGAGGTCCAGGTGGTGGTGAAGTGGGTCGTGTACTTGAAGGAATGCTCGTTGGTCGTTTCAATGAATTTGTTTGTCGCATTGATCCAAAACTATGAATTGTAGGTCTTTGTGAAACTTTGGAATCTCTCATTGAATGAGCACGGGAGACGGGATTTTTTTTCTCTGGCGAATTGGAATTGTTGATGAGAATTGTAGCTGTGGGTATTTCTATTTCAGATTGTGGTATTGGATGAGAAATTTCAAGATTGCGGAGAATTTCCTTGTCAATGACTTTATTGGCCTTGTGATGCTGTGAACGTGGTAGGGAATTTGTATTGCCGGCAGTAAGTGGTTGTGAAATTGATTTTATAATACCGGAATTTGGACGTAATATGGATGCAATTCTATTTAGGGTTATACCTCCTTTTTCGGATTTTTCCTTCTTCTCGGGCTCCGATGATGATGATGATGATGATGATGGCGGCAGTGTTATTGTGTTTGATAGAGGTCTTGTGGATTTTTCCCTTGGTGGTTCGGGTGCTGGACGTGTTGGAATATCGGGAATATCGGGAGCTGGACGGACGGGATTACAATCGGAATTTGAATTTGTTTTTGAGCCGATTAATTCGAGAGATGTGCACGTGGTGGCTGCCAAAACTGGACTGCTGATTAAAGGCCTGGCAGTGCTTCCGGGATTGAGTGGCGGTAATGCTGGTGCAATTGTGGGAACGTTAACGGGTGGACTTGAAAGTGCTGATCGAAAACTGTTGATCCTTTGTAGTGGCTTGATGTTGGTTTTGATTGCAACTGTTGGAACAGTGGGTGGAAGTGGAGCTGGCTTTGTTGGCTCGGTATGTGATTGCTTATGAATGGGAGTGATACTGAAGCCTTTGAAGTGTCCAAAGAAGTTGTTGTTGTAACGTTCATCGGAATCGGATTTTGGGAGTAAACTTGCGCACGCCGGGTCTTGACTGAGGCTCGAGTCAATTGTCTCAATGGTTCGCGGCAAGGGATTTGGACGTTCGCTCGATTTGATTGGCAATGTTCCACGAGTGATTCTGAAATTTGAAGTAAAAAAATATTGTAAGCCTGGAAAGTAGGAGAGAAGCAAAAAAATGATCGATTTTTTTTTTTTTTAAAATAATTCTATCGCATTCGAAAGAATGTATTTTTTTATTTTCAGCAATATTGTAATGTTGAATGAAAGGGACAGGCTCATAAGTTACAAATTTAACGTAACGAATATCTAATGAAGCATGCAAAAAAATTCAAGCATCAATACCAAATTATATTCCAAAAATATGCAAGCAGAGAAAAAAAATAAAGGAAAATTGTTAACGAGATTGTAATATTAGTAGCAAGCCATGGAAGGAGGAAAAGTCAAATGATTAAACAGGTAAATAGAACGAGTCTTTAACTTTTTTTTTTTTTTTATCTGAGAACTGCTTTTATTGCACAAAAATGTTACAGCAAAAAACCAATGCAGGTGTAAAGTAGTGCTTTCTTGAGTATTTTTTTTTTTTATATATTATATAAGATTCAAGATGAATAAGAATAATAATTTTTCGTCGCAAATCCAGACGAAAAAAAATTCGTATCAACGATACTTAAAAATATAAACAAACATATTTTGCACGATGCACAATAGACAATTAAAACAATTCACAAAAGAAAGACAATTCACACATGCCCCGTGCAATATTCATAAATAATTTCATTTCGCCATTTAATTAAAAAAAAAAAAAAACTGAGTAAAAAAGTCACTAGCACTACATAAACAGTTTAAAAAATTTTTTTTTCAAAAGACACTTTTATTTTGCTATTAAATATAATTACTTAACTGAGCATGCAATCCACCTCTTGCACTCTGTATATTATTTTTTTTTCTCAAAATAAAATTCACAAGACTCGCAAAAAAAAATTTTTTTCAATATCGATTTACATGCAAACAACAAACAGAAAACCATGCTTTCTACTAAATATATAGTATATTACTACTTGAGCTTTGTCTCTTCGCATTCGCAACAATAAAAAAAAAATTTTAACTAAAAACTATATAAAATTAGGATTTTTATTAGATTATAGATAACTGCGATTCCCAGTTATATTAAACGAGAATGAAGTTAAAAATACTAAATTATTAATATTAAAAAATATATATCTCGAATTAAAAATCGAGAAAATCTTGAAAGGAAAGTGAATTAAAATTGTGTGACAATAATTTATGAGAAATAGCTGATTTCAATAATGTGATGCGAGGAGATTCATTCTACGATCTATATAGTATATTCGGCATTAAAATTAATGACTTATTCAATACGATCACAGGATTAAATGGTATAAAATTGTCAATAATTGAGTAAATAAATGCTAATGTCTCTTTTTCAATTATTAAAAATATTATGATAAATATATATATATAGAGATTCTCAATTTTCTATAAGATATTCTCTCGATACTTTTTTTTTGTAAGTACAAGCGTCTGTATCGTTAATACATTAAATTATATATACTTAAAAATTTTTTTTTTAATATTATTAAGTCTCTTTCACTTTTCCTGACTTTTTTTTGGGCAGTGAAAGTTTTTGAGGTTGAAATATGAAATTTATAAGCAATCTCGTTTCGATTTAATTTAAATACTTTACTAATTCTAATTTACTTTTAAGTACAATATTGCTACAAGACCAATATTAAGACTAAATTAAAAATAATTGACCAAATTGAAAGGAATTTTTTTTTATATAGTATAAATAAAATAAAAATTTGGTAAATTTTGAATAATTTCAAATAAAAATTTGAAATTATTTTAATTTTTAATCTTATTTCTAATTAATAGATTATTTTGTGAAAGTCAGTCTACAAAAATAGTGATATAATACTTAGAAAAATAAATATTTCAAAATTTGAATATAATTTCATGTGAGAAATAGAGTTGAAAATATTATTTTGGAGGTGGTGGTGGTTTTTTATTATAAAATGGAGCTTTAGAGGTTAAATTGGATTTATCTTTTAACAAAGTTTCAGAACTATTTGGAGTTGTACCAGAAGTGCTGCAAGGACTTTCATTCAATTGCCCGAACTTAAGCTCTGTTTGAACTTTGAGACCCTTAAAGTTTCTATTAGATCCTTTCTGAAATTGTTGAATGTGATCCGCCAATTTGGATCCCAAGTCTATCTTAAGAGGACTTATCCTCTTTGATGTTACTTCCATTGAATTGCTATTTGAGTTAACATCAATTTTCATAGTGGGCTGTTGATGACTAAATTCAACTTTTGGTTCATTCAATGAATTTCTATATTGAATATTATTACTACTATTAATCATATTGGGATTTGTTGTCGAGACGAGATTGCTTTTAACAATTTCAAGTTTCTCTTTATTCGATAATTGATCACTGATAGAGAATATTTTATTTGTATTTTGAGGTGGATTTTTGTTCGGCATTAGGGCGACTAGAATTCGCTGAAATAAGCCTTCTTTTTGACTTTTGTAAACCGGTGATATTGTTGTTGCACACGATTTACGCTTTGGTTTAAAACAACAGTCGACATTGAATACGTACTTAGAGAGCGCTCCTTTCTTCCATTGTTTATTAGGATTATTTCTTCGATACCATACACCAAGTAAAATTAAACCAAGTGTCGGTAATATACCCAAGAAAATAATGTAGGTAGCAGTGATAAAGTCGTTCCTCGCTAAAAGAAAATACAAAAATTAAATTATGTAAATGAAATAGAATAAAAAAACGTTTTTTTTGAATATTACCATTTGGATCCTCGGCTGGACCACTGTCTTCAGATCCACCAAATCCCGGTTGTGTACAATCAGGATATTGAAATCCACGATTACAATGACAGTGCCCAAGACTGTTACAAACTCCATTACCACCGCAATTATTTGGACATGCTTGTCCCTCGGAAATTTTTGCTCGTAAATCAGCCACTGGCATGCATTTTTGATTCACGCACATCTGAAAATTTATTTAAAATTTTTTTTGAGAGGTGAAAAAATTTTTTTTTTTTAAATAAACTGTAATTTACCTTTCCGGGTCCACATTTAGCGCCATCAGGTGCAAGTCCAGGATCGACTTCATTTAGGCCTAAATCAACAATTGCTGAACGACAAGCAATAATATTGCCTTTACTATTTATAAACGAGTGACTGAGTGTTGCGACGGATTCCATTCCAAATTCCAGTCTTTCATTTAAATGTTTACAATGAAGCATACCACAGAGGATACTCCTGTAATTAAATAATTGTAATTTAGTTTGAGAAAAACAAATTGATTTATTAATTATTGAAACTTACTTATTGTTACATTTATAGTAAGACGAGTCAATTCGATTAAATCCACAATTTCCATTTTTATTGCCTTTATTATTCATCGAATAGCACTGGGGATCAGATGAAACGCCAGTTGGTCCCCAAAGTAATTTACACTGATCGTTGTGAGTTCGACACGATCCCTGATAGCAATAAGCTTTGCCCATATTGCATTGTTCGCCATCAATTTTATAGACATCATTCGGACAATATTCACTTTGACCAGTGCAAAATTCCGGTAAATCACATTCATGCTCCGCTGAACGACATTCAGTGCCGGCAGTTTTTGGTCGACATGTCTTGAGATCGCAACATTGACCTGTCGCACAACTTGCATTTGCATGCAACATACATGTGGATGCATCGCAACATGGATTATCGCAATTTTCTTTTAATCCACAATCACATTGTTCACCTGGTTCAACGAAACTATTGCCACAAACTGGACTGTCAAATAACTTTTGTGGTTTATTACGTAGACAATAATCCATTCCATGCTCAAAGGCAAGTGCCAAATATTCTAATGAGCATGACGACCAATGAACGGGTCCTGCCGATCCACTCGATGGTGCCATAATGCATCTGAAAATTTTTATTTCAACAATTTAATTTCACTATTTCATGTAAATTAAAAAATAATATTAATTTAGATTAAAATTAGTTTTTTTTTTACCTTTCTTCGGGACATTCACATTCAGGTGATGGTGCATCGTGTTCCATGCCGAAATTATGACCAATTTCATGTGCCACAGTGGCTGCGACAACACCAACTTGATTCGAATGATCACTAGAGACTCCTCCAGAAAATTCATAGGTGCATATTGGTCCCTTCAGAGCTTTCCCAACAACACCACCGTCAAATTGTATTCTCCTTTAGAGGAAAAAGAAAGAATTTTTTCATACATTACCAAAAAAATTTTCTTAATTTACAAAAAATCGATATTTTTTTAAAAAGTTTTTTGCAATTTGCCACAAATATTCTAATAATTAAGAAAAAAAATATCCTAATGAAATACACTCTTATGAATGAGTTATTTTGACCCTTTAAAATATGAAAAATTTAATCTAGAATCAAAAATAGAAAATTGAATATTAAAATAGAAATATATAGATCAAGTTCTATACTCACGTTAATAATTGGGCATTATCATTTGGAATTGCTTTGACTAGTGTTTCTCTGCGGTAGCGCAGGAAGCTTGATAACGTCGAGTCTCCATTAACAGAGAGCGGTATTTCATCTGAATCTGACCACACTTCGACGCCCACCAGTGCAATATATATATTAAGTGGCGTATAAAACTGTAAAAAAATCAATTTCCATTAATGTAAAAACAAAAATTTAACCAAATCGAATTTTTTTTCTAAATTTCTTAGTTTGAAATTTTTTTCTCTTTTTACAATATACACAAATACTCTACAATTTTCCAGTTGAACAATTTCAATTTCACAAGTAAATTTATAACTATTCAGAATAATTTCAGCGAGAAGTTTCAAAATTAATCTCAAGAAATTATAATAGTTCAGTTTGCGCGGGAAATAACTAAACTTGATTTCGTTAGCTATATATATAAATTTAATTTCAAAACTCACCGCATTTATAATATTCGCAATATCCTTGCAACGTTGATAAACTTTATCGAGATTTTCATCGAAAGCCATATATTCTTTTTTGTCAATTACAAGAACTAATTCCACATATCTCGATTGTCGATTTGCATTGTATGGGCCTCTTATTGTTTCAGTTGCTCTTTTATTCTGAAAATAAATAATATATTTAAAAATTTAATTTTTTATTGAAAAATTAAAAAAAAATTCGGAAATGAAAAAAAAATTAAGAAAATTAATTTACTATTCATTTAATAATTATAATTTATCAAAAGTTAAATTAAAAAAATTGTTTTCATTGAATATTCAACTCGTGTAGTTAATAAGTAGATAAATTCTTCTTAATTTGTTCAACTGGTAGAAAAATAGATATATATGAAAAGGAAAAAGTGCAAACATCACGAAGAAGAAATTACAGTGTTTATCGTTCTAGATACTCACCCTGGAGGCTCGATGGAATTTTTTCAAATCACCAGTAAGAATATCGTGCGGCGTTCCTTCGTAGCCTATGGAAAAATAACAAAAAAAAAAAAACAAAGAAAGAAAAATGAAAACACTGAGAAGAGATTATTGCGCAAAGTGCAACCGGATTCTTATTATAGTGAAGTTAAAGGACAAAGGAGTCGGCATACTATGCGAGAGAGGACCTTGCTTCCAACATTCGTTAAGACTGTTAAGGTAAGACCAGTACTTTATACTAGAAAGACAGGTCTCAAAGCCTTTTACACTCGTTGTGAACTTGTTTGGAAAAAAAAACCAAACTTCTGTATTTTCTTTAACTGTATCTATATACATATATAAAGATTCTATTGAAATATATTCTCGAGATGATAGATATTACTTTAAATTTAAGAATACAAAAAAAATTTATTGTGCCCTGGCTCATTGCCAATGAGAACAGGTCAACGAGTATTGAAGCAGTTCGAGTGAATAATATATAGAAAAAACCTACTTTCACTGCAAATTCAGGGAATTTCATTTGTTTCAAATAAAATTAAAATGAAAAAGCGTTACTAATTTACGAAATTAAAATTACTTTTCTATTTTTTAATTTCGTTTTTTTACAAAGTACGCAACGTTTATATAAACGATTTTTAAAGAAATAATTTTTTAAAATGAAAAATTCTATAATTTTTTGTCTAAAAAATATTTTTTTTTTTTTTTATAATTTGTTGATTAATGAAAACTACAAGAAATATTGTTTAGGCAAAAAATAATAAAAATTTTCATTTTAAAAAATTATTTCTTTAAAAATCGTTTATATAAACGTTGCGTACTTCGTGTGTTTTTTTCAAGATTTTTAATTTTAATTTAATTTTTAAAATTTTTTTACACGTGAATAAATAAAATTTATTTGTAAAATTTATATTGAGAATAAAATTAAAAAAAAAGGAGATCTTACCACATGTGCGATTGGCAATGAGATCTTTATGTTTATAAATAAAGTGTTTAGAATTTAGTGTCTCAATCTCGGGATGTAGGTGATGAAGATCTTTGCCATCGTAAATGACTCCTTTCAAGCCATTGCATGTGGAAACTGCAGCCCAAGATCCAGGCACATCTCTGATACTCCCTTGATAGTTACATATTTCCTGCAAAAAAAAAAAAAAAAAATTCGTTACACAAATAAACATTTATTTATTTCTAAATTTAATATTGTGTCATCTTTTATCATTCCAAATATGGTTACAAAAAAAAAAAAAAAAAAACGAATTATAAGTTCAGGGAGAATTCCTCGCGCGAGATTAATTATTCCATGTTTGATAATAATTACAGTTTAGCACGCGAGAGATTGTATTTTTTCTCTTTATTTCTTCTCATCACACGATAGAAAATGTCTAGAAATATTAGAGGAACTTGGAAAAAAAGCCTTTGAATGCGTCACCAACTCGTTAAAATAAGTTCATATTTATAACAAAAAAAGAAAAAAAAATTGCATACTTCTGCAATATAAGTGACAAGGCCCTGAGAGAATAAAACAATTGTCTCAAGTCACAAGAGTGAGAGATTATCTCCATGTTTATAGTTACATTATTCGCAGCATTTAATTAATTATTCTTCTTCTTGACTATATGGCCTTGAAGAAAATTCGAATTTTAGAAAAAAAAAAAATATATGAAAAAAATTTTATTCTTCTTTATAAATATTCTAAAATTTTTAATTAATATTTTAATAATCTTTTTATTTTGTTTGAATTATCTGATAAAATATTTTTATGATTTTCATATTTTTCATCATTCAAAATAATGAAATTCTTTCTAATCTTAAAAGTAATCTGACTTGAAAATTGAACAGAGAAGAATATAATACGGGTGCCTTCTTCCTTTTTTTTCCTCCTCTTAACTCGAGATCTCATCTTAATGTAAAATTCTTTCGAATCGTTGAAACTAATCAGCATAATTATTCCATTTTCCTGAATGTCGCAAAAAGGTAATCACAGTATATATATATATATTTATAAAAAAAATTTCAAACTTATTGTTTTGTTTAAAAAAGAAAATACCTCAAAAAAACTCGAAATTACTTTAATTATTTCCGATTTTTTGTACGAAATAGTAAAAAAATCTAAAAGCAATAACAATTTTAAAAGGATAAAAATTTTTAAACTAATAAAAATCACTTAATAGTAACCAGAGGAACGTTATTAAAAAAAAGAATAAAATGCAATTTTAAAAATGATGAAACTTTTAAAGCATAATAAAAATTTAAATGCCATTAAAATCATTTAAAAGTAACAGAGGAACGTTATTAAAAAACTAAAATGTGACGTATACAAAATGAATAAAATTTTTAATACAACAGAGATAAATAATTTTTTTTTTTTTTTTTTTTGCAAACATTTAAAGTAAACGAATAAAGAGTTATTTATACAAATGAAATTTTCATTTTACTTTTATATGGAAACGGAAGTGAGTAATTCGTGTATATCCGAGTAATTATAATACAACTGGGTGTCTCTTGTATGCAAATGATAACAAGTATTATAAAAAAAGAGTAGCATTGTCGAGACAATTAAGGATGGCAATTGGTAAAATGTGAAGTCAAATATAGAACAAAGCACAACGAACTCACATATATATATATATATATATATATATATATAGCCTGTCATATATATTGTTGCAATTTTCTTTTTATTTACTTTTTAATATTTATAAAGCAAGTATTAATGACTCTACATTCCATTAAAGATAAAAGTTACTTAAACGCTTTTGCAAACAAGTTTAACAATTGACAGCGGGAGATTATTAAATTTTTTATTTTATAAAACAGTTTTTTTGCAACATAAAAATATAAAAAAAATTACCGACATAGAAATCTACCTTACCAACTGATGGTAAAACAGATTTTTTTGAAAAATGAAGATATAAAAAATTACCGACATAGGAATCTACCTTACCGACTGATGGTAAGACAGGATTAAAAATGAAAATATCCAAAAATTACCGACATAGAAATATACTTTAACGACTACTGGTAAAACAGATTTTTTTGAAAAATGAAAATATAAAAAATTACCTACATAGGAATCTACCTTACCGACTGATGGTAAGACAGGTTTTTGAAAAATTAAATTATAAAAAATACCGACACAGAAATCTACCTTGCCATTAGTCGGTAAGGTAGATCCCTATGTCGGTAATTTTTTATATTTTCCAAAAAAAATTGTTTTACCATCAGTCGGTAAGGTAGATTTCGCTGTCAGTAGTTTTTATAATTTCATTTTAAAAAACTGTTTTACCATCAGTTGGTAAGGTAGATTTCTATGTCGGTAATTTTTTATATTTTAAATTTTTTTTTAATTTTTTACCATCTTGTTAATTGTTTAACCATTTATGTATTATAAAAAAATTTATTTAAAAAAATTTATTTAAAAAAATTTAATTAATTAAATTGTCACTTTTTTATCAGAGAAAAATAATATTACTTTTTATTGTAAATATAAATAAATACTGTGAAGCAAAATACTTCAATGTTTATTTTATCTCCGATCGTTCGATAACTATATATATATGTGACATCAATTATATATCTTTTTTGATATATTGTTATATAAATTTGCTATAAATTTACCCGAATGGAGTAAATTGAATTTTCTTCTTTGTTTTTAAGACATATTGTTTTAAAAGGATTCTAAAAGAGATTTAAAAATAAAATTTTATCTTTTAATACTTTTATTTCATAAAATTTTATTTTTCGCATTCATGAGAATTATATTATAAAAAGAATAGGATAGCCATAAAACGGAAGCATATTAAATATGAATAATCCTTTTTTTTTTAAACTAAAAGACTTTGTGAGTCACATTATTTTTCTGATTCGTATTTCTACAGGTGCACGTGTTGTGTTGATTAATTTTTTTTTTTTTCAAAAGAAGAATGATAAATTGGAAATTTTGAAGCGTAATAAAAAATTGAATGATTATTAAAATTAATATTTTTAAAAAATGAGCGAAAATATGAATAAATTAATTTAATTAATTATCTAATAAAAATATTTTAAAAATATTTTAAAAATATATTTTGTAATTAATATAATTAAAAAATGTAACAGTAGGTATTTTTATTATTTTTATGAGTGATACATTTTTTTCTCGAGTAAATTAAAATTAAATTCTAATTATTATTATTATAATACGAAATAAATAAATTTTAATAAAATTTCTAATTTAATGTAATAATTTTCTTTAAAGGTAAAAATTTCTGTGATATAATATTTTACTTACAACTTTTGATGGAATATGTACTTTATAAGAGCCTTTGTGTTGGTGTCTCTGTTGATAACCATAGGCAATGAGATCTTTATTCAATCGAAGATCCAGGATCCTTTCTACGCCGTCTAACTCGTAATGAACTGACAGCACGTCGACATGCTCGATGTCCTGAAAAAAAGAGTACTAATGAGCAACTGCGAGAATATCCCACAGAATTTATTCGCCCAGAGAAATTCAATTTTTCTTCTTTACATTCATGTCTCTTTCGCGAATAATTACACTTTTCCCACCTAAGGGAATAAAAGTCATTCATTTCATTAAAAAAAAAAAAAAAAAAAAAAAAAAAAAAAAAAAAAAAAAAAAAAAAAAAAAAAAAAAAAAAAATTATTCCCTTTCAAGAACATAAAATAAAAAAAAAAAAAAATTAATTTATCAAACGAATTTCGATTTAATAGAAATTTAAATTACAATTTTTAAATAAAAATTATTTTATTTTAAATAATCAAATTTTTAATAATTAAATTTTTAATATATTTTTGTATTTAATTCGAGAAAAATTTATTTAATTTTGATTTAATGGAATATTTATACTAAATACATAATTATGAAGTTTCGTATTAATTAACGGTATATAAATTTTGCGCCCTTTAAATTTAAATTATGAATTTAATTTATATTTTGTGTACGAGAATTTAATATGGTGTAAAATATTATAAAGTACATATACATAATCTGAAAAGTAAAAGTACTTCAAATAAACTAGTTTTCTGTCTATTTATATGAATAACTAATTACCTTTCTTTATTATAAAATAGGTTTGAAAATCGCGTAATAGTTTTAAATCGACATTTATTAAATAAAAATTTTAATATTTCCAACAAAAATTTAATCCTAATTTTTTTTTTAGAAAAAACAATCTTCGGAGAAAAAATTTATATACAATTTGAAAATTTATTTAAAAAATGAGTAATCGCTAATAAACTTCCTTATTTCTATACATAATAGATTTCAATTGCAGATGAATTTGTCAATAGAAGCAGGAAATTGTTGTCAATTTGTTTACCTCAGACAAATGATGACTCAAGATTGTTCAGAAAAAAATGATTATATAGTTTTGTTAATTATTCTAATCGCCGATTTGTTTCAAGATTAGTTTAGTGATTACTATAACGATAATATTATAATTGTCTAAATATGATGATTCACTATTTTAAAAATCTCAGAAATCTGTAAAAAAAAATTTAATTATTTTCTAATTCTTTTTTCTAATTAATTTATTTTTTTCCTCTATATAAGAATATACGATTAAAGCTTTCTTGACACATGGCCATAAGATCATTTCGTGCACACCTATGAGATTTGCAGTGACCCGCTTTCGCTAAAGCCAATATATTTTCAGATATAAATATAACGTGGGGTCACGTTCCTCAGACTGCGGAAAATTGCCTTTTCTATGTTCAAAAAATATATATTTCTCTCCTTCTTTTATATTTCGAAAATATACGTGCGACATATATATAACAATGCATTTTATTTTCGCAAATAAAAATAAATTACAATTTCAAATTGAATTTAAATTTATTCAAGTGTAAAATAATTTTCAATTTTTAACTTTAATTTTTTCAAGCGTATTTATGATTTATTATATAATAATTTAATATTATTTAAATTATTAAAAAATAAATAAAAAAAAGGTACAATTGGAAACTTTTTATTATCCAATGAGATTAATTATTTAACAACATTTATTTATTTATTAATTATTTATAATAATATAGTAAAAAATAATTAAAGAACATCATTTGAATCATAAACTTTAAAGAAGGAATTAAACAATAAAAATTTTTTTTTTGAATTTTATAAAACTTTTAAAAAGGATCAAGCCGCCAATTACGAATAAACTTTGTACATTTAAAGTTTCCAAGAAGTAATTTTGCTCCTCGCTCTCATTGAAAATTTATATTACCCCACTTTTTTGATATATAATATATATAAAGTTCGTAATTAAGTTTTGCATCTCTTTATTATTCACGCACGAATAAAAAGGTGCGCGCAATGAAAGAAAAAATTATGCAGCGACAAAAAAAAAATGACTTCGAAAACGTTTTACTATTTAAATTCATGAGATTTGATTTTTTAATAAAAAAAAATAAATTTGAAAATATTTTCGAGTTTTTTTTTGTAACTGTTTGAAAATCGACAAGTTGAGAACCCAATCGTCGATATCGAAGGGTCGTACCAATTAGACAGATACTGGTAACATGAAATATGAAATGGTTGTTCTGATTTATGACTTGTTCTCTCAACCTCCAACGAGAGAAAGATGAAAAATTCCTTAAAAGAGTGTGTACAAAAAAAAAAAAGAAAAAAAAACTTCAACACGCAAAAAGAAAATTTAGAAACATTTTCCAAAAAATATTTTCAATGAAATAAAATAATTTATAAATAAATTATAAATTATTTAATTAAATTAAATACTAATATAATTATTATTTAATTAAATTAAATACTAATATAATTATTATTTAATTAAATTAAATACTAATATAATTATGATTTAATTATAATTTAGTTATATTTAAATTATAAACAATAATTTGATAATTATAATAATGAATCGTACTATAAATAGAAAAAAAAAAAAAATTTGAAACACTGACGTAAAAAGTTTCATTCTATTAATTCGCAAAGAATTTTTGATGTCTAAAACAGAGAACAATGGAAATGAAAGAAACAGTTTGAGAAAAATTAAGGCAACTCACAATACGTTGAGGTGGATATATATAAAACATACTTGGTTGTGGGTGGCGTAATGGAAAGGTCTCCTGAAAAGTGGTGTATGTATTTTTTTTACTGAGTGCTTTCACGTGCCAAAATATTGCAATGCTTTTGTTATATAGTTGAGCGCAGAGAGAAAAGTACAATATCCGTTGGTTAAAATATATATATATATATATACGTATATATAAGCTTTCTCAATTTTATCATAGGATTTATAAAATCCCTCACCTCATTTCTCTCCATATTATCCAGACTATATATATATATATAAATATATATTATTATTTAATACGATTTTGCTATTTACGAAAATTTATGTAGTACATAAAAAAAATATTTTTAATTTTTTTATTTTACCAAAAAACAAATTTTTTCTATTATTTATTTATTAATAATTAATATCACAGAAAATTAAAAGGCATTAAAATAAGCTTATTATTTTAATTCAATTTCGCTTATTTTAATACCAAAATGGATTAAAATAAGCAAAATTGGATTAAAATAATAAGCTTATTTTAATGCCTTTTAATTTTCTGTGATTTTATATGTGTATATAACATTTTACAACAGTGAATAAAAAAAATAAAGATAAAATAAAATTGAAAATTATAATTATTTTTTAAATGATATAGTAAAAATTGTAATAATTTACGCTTATATTTATTTCTATGGTTGTTTCTAGATTATCGAAGTGAAATTTGTTTAAATTGGTTTTGCGGTTGGTCGCTCGTGTTTCTCTAAAAGACATAGGATTTTGCTTTGAAAATATAGTCAATAGTCGTTCTGCATATTAAACTTGCGCAGGTGCTCGTTCGGTCGTATGCACATGTTCATATATATATATATTGTAACAACTGTAGTTACATATATAACAATATAAAATAATATTTAAACGATATTTTATTTTTAATAAACATTAAAAAAAAATCCAATAAAATTTTTCTGTTATAATCAAGAGAAAAATTTGATTTTGACAAAAAAAAAAAAATTTGGAAATTATTTTAAAAAAAAAATTTTTTTGGTACAAACATTTTTGTGTTATATTATTATTTTGCTATACAAACAATTTTTATTAAAAATTATTTTTTTTATTCAAAACAAAAAATTATTAGGCTCTGAGAAAAATATATTTTTTATTTAATTATAAAAGCTTTTTTTCACGGTCAAAATCAATTTAATTCAAGTTCGTGTGTGATTGGAAATACCTTAATCTTAATAATATGCGAGATGATGATGCCAAGGTTAAATCTCTTTCTATGCTTTCTTTGTTCGGTGACTTTATCTTATCCTTATTTCAATTACATATGCCCTTTTATATCATTATGTACAGTTGCGTTTGTTTGAAAGCCTTCTTGTTCTCACTACATATATATACAAATATTCCATTTAAACACATGGACGTCCAAAGATACGGAAAAGGATCATAAATTGAAAAAAAAAACAGTTTAGAGAGAAAAAAAAGATCCGTATACACAAGGATTAGATTTTTTTTTATCAATTTCGCAAATAAAAAAAAAAAAAAAATTAATAAATAATTATTAAAAAATCATAATATAATAATTATTATTTTTTTATTTGTATGTTTTTATTATTTTTATTATTATTTTTTTATTTGTATTTTTTTATTATTTTTATTATTATTTTTTTATTTGTATTTTTTTATTATTTTTATTATTATTTATTCACTTTATTATAAAAAAAAAATTATTATTTGTTTTTTAAAGTTTTATTATTTAAAAAAAAAATTGTTTCAAAAAAGGTAAAATTTTTTTTGTAAACAACTTTTCAAATTAAGATTAAATGGCTAGAGAAAACTGTGACAAGTTGAAGTAAAGAAAATGTGATTTACTCGATTCCGGATATTGACGATTGATCTTTATCTCGAACAAGTCGTACAATTTCAAGTCGGTGCTTTTGTTACGCCTTCGATACAATACGACCATATAGTTTATATAGTGCACTTGCATCTCGATTTGAAATCCTACGCAATATTATATATATATACAAGTGCACAGTGAAAATAAAACATTTTATTGTCACTGAAAAAAATTTCCTTTTTTTTTTTTTATTTAACTTTTCAAATAGTTTTTAAAAAATAGTAAAAATAAATTTTTATTTTCTAAACAAAAACACACAAAAAAAATTATTAAAATTTTTAAATTAGAAAATGTTAAATTAAATTTTTAATTAAAAATGGCATGGAATAAATGGAAACCTACTGAAATTTTAATAGAAATTTTTTTTTTTTTTCTTTAAGTAATTACGATTTTATAAATAATGTTAATATGTGAAAATTTTTCATTTAGTCGTACTTGGTTATTACATTGTTCATCATACATAATTATGTCATTATTATATTATTTAACTTCAAAGAAATCGCGAATATTTTAATTCTATACAATTGTACATAAAAAAGTGAATACTTAACAAAATAATATACAATTTTTCTTGTTAGAAATTATTTGCAATTGTTAAAAAAAAAATGTTAAAATGAAAAAAAATTGATAAAAAAAATCACGTTCGAAACGTCATACACTATGAATCACAATATTAGTAATGATTCTCGCGAATAAAAAGGCATTATGTCCTCGATTATGTCAATGAATAGCGAAAGGATTTTGTCACGATTTTTACACCTGATGAAAATGTTAATTAGCCAAATACACGAATTTACAATAATTTTTTTTTTCAGTCGAAGAAAACAATTTCCGATTCTTAAAAAAAAATTATTCTAACTTAAAAATTTATCAAAAATATTATACAGTTTTTTTTTGTTATAGATCCTTGGTTTAATCTCATAAAAAAAAACAATTTCCCTTTTATGGGAAAATTTCAATTAACTTTTTTTTCTAGATTTTAGGGGAATTTTTTTTTCTCTTTAAAAAAGCAATGGTAAATTATAATGAAATATTAATTAATTAGTATTATAATCTACATGAACAATAATTCGTCTGCATTTGACTTTTGGGTTCCTGTCATTGTCAGGAATATCAGCTCTAAAGTATACAGTTTGTATTTGTGGTGCATTTTGTGATGCAGCTCATGTTGAAACATTTGCATTGAAATTGTTGCACCGAGGTGGTTTGCTACGCGCATAGTAAACAATAAATGAGTTATATATTCCATACCCAGGCGCCAACGACAGTGGCGTTTCCGAGTTGTGAACAATTTTTTTTTTATTTTTTTTAAAGCTCGCGGCTCAAATCAATTCGCGTGATAAAAGATTAAAAAAAAAAATCAACTTTTTTTTACAAAATATATTTACAGTCATATGTATATAATTTTTTTTTCTCTTCACCGAAAATAGATAGACAAAGGAATTTTATCACTAAATAATAAAAACTATGACAAATATTAATATATTATATTTTATTAATATTCAATATATTATTTTTATCTATTTGTAATTTTTCTATAATTATAATTAAATTACTTACATTTTCTTTGGTTGATGAAATTTCCCTTTTGTTTCTACCGTGATAGACTATTGGCCTAAATATCTGATGCCTGCTAAAATCGGATGAAGGACCTAGAAGAAAAAGAAAAAAAAATGCTCAATTTATTTGTTACGAGTATAAAATTAAAAAAAAAACTACTATTATTTATTAATATTTAATAATAATAATAATAATAATAAAATTTCATTTTTTTACTGCTATGAATTATTTATAAAATTTATTATTTTACAGGGTGCCTACTAAAAATCTGAATTAAAATTCCAGGACAAACAATAAAATATTCTGCCTAAGAAAAATTGAATTTTTTTTTTGGCAATTTTTCTACAAGGGGGGTAGCTTTAATGCTCATAATAGGGGTCTTCCTCTACTCGTATCTGGCTGTCAATTTTTTTCTACACTTTTCGGTGTATTTTGTGCAAGAAATTGCAATAAAATATTCAGCCTAAGAAAAATTGAATTTTTTTGGGTAGTTTTTTATAATTTTGGATGACTTTTTGGTGGTAATAGGGACCTTCCTCTACTCGTATCGGGGTGTCAATTTTTTTCTACACTTTTCGGTGTATTTTCTGCAAGAAACTTATTTTTCCATAACATTAAATTATAGATGACCTTAAGGAATAAAAAAATTTTTAATTTAACTATTGTTTGCAGAAATTATTAAAAAATTAATTAATTACTTAAGTAAATCTTCATTTAAATTTATTTAATGAATTTTTTTTAACTTGATTGACAAAATTATTTTTTGAAAATTTAAAAGCAAAATATAAAAAATTCAAGGACAAAAATAAAAATTCCAGGACTTTCAAGGATATTCCAGGACATTTTTTCAAATTCCAGAACATTTCTAGGACCCTGTTTTATGAAAAATTTGGATTTTTCGATTATTTAAAAATTAAAATTTAAGAAAAATAAAATAAGTCTCTTTACGATATATTTTTCTAACCAATATATTGGTTCTCATTTTGAACACATTGGGTATATACCCTCGAGTGTTTGATATTGATCGACCGACAAAAACAGCATTGCCAAGCACTCTATGAACCTTAGAAACAATAGTGCATGAAGAACATCGATTGTTACCAAAGTCAAGTTGTTTTTACTTCAACGACTATATATATATATTATATTGATTGCATTATAATCAATTTTTCTCTCACATTACTCTCAAAAGAATTTTTCTTTAAAAATTTTTCTTTTTTAAAATATTTTTAAAAGAGAAAAAAAATATTTCAATTTAATTATATTTACAAAAAAAAAATATTGTTTTTAATATTTTTTTTTAGTTCCGTTTTAATTTAGAAGCCGGATCAGAAATTTGTTTTTTGCCTCAACAGGAAAGTTCCCATGTGAGTGAAATCACCGAACGTCATATATATATATAATAAAAAGTTGAGAAAAATCATATGCATATTTAAATTCCTTGTGTACAAAAGTGTCAACGACCATTTAAGAGAGAAAAAAAAAAATTATAAAGAGCGATTATCCAGGATGTTCCCAACTGTATGCTTTTTTGTGATAAAAAAATTTATCAACTTTTTGTTTCACATATCTTTATATATATATATATATGCTTTAATAAATATTTCTATAGTTTAAAAAAATGGAAATAAATAAAAATTGTTTATTTCAAAATAAGTAATTTTTTTTTGTATTATTTTAGCTGTAAAAAATATAATAATGAAAATAACATCGCATCAATAATAAAAAAAAAATCAAAAACTGAATATATGCACTGCTTTAGCGATCGTCATTCAAGCTCGTTAGTCAATTAAAGATCATAATTACGGTAACTAGAATAATAATCGCAAGAGATGCTGTACTGACATGACTCATTTTGCCGGACGTTGACATATATATATGTATATGTCAGTTTCATATATATTATTCCATATGGCATTAGATTTAGACTAATAAACTTATATCAAATGACAGGAAATCATATATCAAATGAAAAAAAATAAATTTTATTTTCATTAACAAAATATGAGCCAAAAATTTTGAACGTTCAAATGAACAAAAAATTTTTTTTTGTACCTTCTTTAAGTACGAATTTTATTACAAAATATTGTTTTAAATATTTTAAAAGAAGTTATTAATTTAATATTTGTTTAATTCACTGTTTTATTTAACATTTTGACATTATAATTTTTAATAATTTATAGATTGAAAAAAATACTTTGTTCATTTGCTCAGAATTTTTAGCTTATAACAAAGTTTATTTATACCAAAAATTGAAAAATCGTGAGAAATTCTAATAATATAACAACCTTTGCGCAGGTTAAGGAGAGAGAGAGATAAGGGCATTCTATATAAAAGCACCTATCGTAAGTTTACCCTCTTATAGCCTCAAGTTGTTATCGACTTTAACTAAAAGTACCTGCGTAATCTGCGGAGGTTAGTTTTACAACAGCTACACACTCGATTAACGTTTATCTTAGCGTTCTCTTTTTTTTTTTCTTCAAATCACCTGTGACACTTGTTCACAAGGTATATAGAAAAATTTTAAAGACCCCCCCCCCCCTCTCTCCTTGATGCATAAAATTGCCATCAGAAAGTGGAGCAAACGTATAATAAATAATAAAAGAGAAATCATGAAATGAAATCACAAAGAATATTTAATAAATTTAAAAAAAAACGAAATATCTCGTAGTAAATTTAGGAAAAAAAAACCCAAATTTGCATTAATACACCTAGAGAAAAAATATATTTATTTGTCTCAGAGCCAAATAAATATTTATTCGATTTAAATAAATTTTTATTTGATTTAAGCAAAAAAATTTATTTACGCCAAATTAATAGGCTATAGTTGGCTCTGAGACAAATATACATACGTTTATTTAATTCAAATATATTATATTTGGTTCAAATAAAACAGTAGTATTTTTTGTGATTATTTTTTTATCAAATAAATATTTACTTAAACTAAATAATTTTTCCTGAGCCAATTAAATGTGTGTTGAAAATATTGCGGTTCAAATACTGTTTATTTAATTCAATTATTTGGTTTCGAAAATTTTTTGCCTCAAGTAACGAAGCTGAAGTACTCAACGTTTATGATAAACGATTTTTAAAGAAATAATTTTTTAAAATGGAAAATTATATAATTTTTTGCCTAAAAAATATTTCTTTTAGTTTTCATTAATCAACAAATTATAAAAAAATATTTATTAGGTAAAAAATTATAGAATTTTTCATTTTAAAAAATTATTTCTTTAAAAATCGTTTATCATAAACGTTGCGTACTTCAGTTTCGTCCTCAAGTAATTATTTATTTGAAGTCAAGTAACCGATTATTTGAATTAAATAAATTTTTAAAAAAAATTTTTTCAGAATTTCTAGAATTTTGCTATCAATAATGATATCAGTACAGAATGACTGTCATATATATATATTGGAATGGAATATATAAAGTTTCATGGAGATCCATTGCATTTTTCCGGCTGCAAAACTAGTGAGGATTGAATATATATACACGTACGTTTACGGGATTAATTTGAGCTTCGCGGGGGGGGATCAGTGATCCGAAGCGACAAAACCGATTTATCTCTATACGGAAACCTGTCGTGAATCCCTTAATGGGAAAAATCACACTCATGACTGATTGTTAATTTCGCGCGAAAGCACCAGAGAAAAAAAAACCGATCCATATATATAAAAAATAATTTACAGTAAAAAAATAAAAAATAAATAAAAATTTGTTTCATTCAAAAAAAAATTTTGTTTACAAAAAAAAATTGTCTTAGAAATAATTTTGATTTAAAAAAAAAAATTGATTTCCTCTAGAAGCAGTTTTAAACTCTAAACTTTCAAGTCAGGTCACTTTGTGCGAATGTGTGACACTTTGAAATGCTCGTATAGACAGCGAAATTGAACTGTTCCGGTGTTAAAGTACCAGTCAAAAGAAACCAAACGACTCCGAGTGTAATTGAGAAAAATAATCAGTTACTGCCTATGAAAATAGTTTCCTGAAACTTTTGTTCAAAACGTTATACAAGTAAAAACAACCGTTTCTTTTTTTTTCTTTAGAAAACAAAATTACAGACTTTGGAAACTATTTTCTCAAGGGATTGAAGAAGTTTTTTTTTTTTTTTTTTTTTTTCCTATCGAAATGGAAGTTAAGTCGATAAAGTTGTTTTAAAAGACATACGTTTGACTCCCAAAGGGATCTTGTCTCAAAGAGACAAATTTTTATAAAAAGAGATCGATGAATTTATTTATTAACCCCTCCGCGTCGATGATTTTATATTTTTAATTTCATTGTTTTAATAATTTAAAAAAAAATTTCTAAAAAAAAGCTACTTTTAATTAAAAAAATATTTAAAAAAATAATTTTTTATTTCTATTATCCCTCATCTCTGTTTTTCATAAAAAAAAATTCTTTATGTTCAACGTCATTCAAGGAACTCTATGAAAATCAGTTTTAATTAAAAACGAGATTATATACATCAAATACGCCGGGGTAGTTAAAAATGAATAAAAATCTCTTGCCGCAGTGTACCGTGTATATATAGATTCTTCTATATCGAGTCAAAAGATAAGGTTCAAGTTCGTCAGCTTCACTGAAGGGTTAATTGCACTAACAAGCGTCAAGTGTTGATTTTCGCTTTTGAAACTCTTGTCAATATTGCGAATCAAAGGAGAACTTTACTATTTTAAATATTTAAATATTAATTTTTAGTCCTTGAAAAAAACGTATACGTTAATTAATAAAACTACAAGAATAGTTTAAAAAAAATTTTTTAATTAAAATTTTTCTACTTTTAATATTTATCGAATAATTCGTTTTTGTTTTTAATAAAAAAAAAAAATAAAAATTCTTATGACTTTGTTTAATCTCATCACACTGAAGAGAACGATCAAAATATTTGTGTGTCTCATACAAAAATATAGAATCTATGCAATATGTCAAAAATAAAATAAATTATTAATTAACAATTTTTCTTAATTGCAAAATATTTTTTTTAATATAAAACAAATAATATTAATAACAATTAATAAATTGTAAAATATTCGAAAATCTTAATTAAAATATTAGAATTAGAAATGCAGTAAAAAAAAAAAAAAAAATTGTAAATGTCATTTTCTCATACAAATATATTTTCACATGCTTTCATTATATCTCATTTAATTTCGTTCATTAGTAGAACGGATTTTTGCTCATTAGAATTGTGTTATCCGCTTTGACGAGCATAAACTGATTTCAAAACCAGGGGAAAAAGAATATTTCAACCCCAATCTACAAAGGATTTTTAAACATCAAACAAAAAAAAAATAATAATAATGACAATAATTCTCAATATTGAAAAATACATTTATAATTTATAAAATGTTCAAATATAAAATTACTAAAATCATAGGGTGTCTAACAAGGATTGAGAAAAAAATTCCCTGACTTTTCCCTGACATTTTTTTTATGTTTTCCTGACTTTTTAATAACTTTATTTCTGCTTTTTTTGGACAAAAATATGGTTATTGACATATTTAACAATAATAAAAACCATTCAAGTTTTTTTAAATTAAAAAATTTTTAAATTCACAAAAAAATTTAATTTTTGTAGAAATTTACAGAAATTTCACGAAGCTGAAGTACGCAACGTTTATGATAAACGATTTTTAAAGAAATAATTTTTTAAAATGGAAAATTATATAATTTTTTTCCTAAAAAATATTTCTTGTAGTTTTCATTAATCAACAAATTATATATAAAAATATATTTTTTAGGCAAAAAATTATAGAATTTTTCATTTTAAAAAATTATTTCTTAAAAAATCGTTTATCATAAACGTTGCGTACTTGAGTTTCGTGAAATTTCCCTGACTTTGAATGAAATTTTTTGAAATTCCCTGACTTTTCCCTGACATTTCCCTGACCAACAAAATTCCCTGACTTTTCCCTGACCGTTAGACACCCTGAAAATTATTTTAATTACTTACATTCTAAATGTTTAATTAATTTAATTTTAGCAATTAATTTAATTAAACATTTAATTAAAATAATAAAATTAATTTGTAATAAAAAAAAAATTGGTTTAGATTAAATAAAAAAAAATTGAAGACAAAATGAGAATCACTGTGTCATAGCTTTAGGGCATTATTTCCGGAATCTAAAAAGCTAAACTCAATCCAACAGGCATGTATACGTTGTAAACTCGTCAAGTTGTCCCGCTTTCGTTCACCCTTGATGCACATCGGTGATATTTGCCGTTATTAAACTCATACATAATCTCATCAGTGTACATAATTGAGCAGTAATCGAAAAAAGGGCTTTGCCCTCTATATCTTAATCGATATATATATGTATATTTTAATCGTTCAAAATATATCCTCATTATCAATTTAATTGTTCATTGTCTAGTATAAAAAAAATAGTTAAGAACATTAATTATTATTTTCAATTCACTAATATTGCGGCCTCGGATTTTAATCCATTTGCAATAAAAATTAAAATCTTATAAAATTTTTATTATAAATAATTATACTATTATATACTAATTAATTAATATTAATTAATTAAAATAATAAAATAGTATTTGAAAAATAATTTTAAATAAATAATACAAAGTAATTATAATTAATTAGAACAATAAATTTTATAATAAAATTCTCATAAAATTGTGAAAAACTTTTTTTCCATCTCAGCAAAAATTGCATATATTCTATAATTTTTTCCACTGTTTTTTTTTTAGTTAAAAAAACTGTAAAACTGTAAAATGTGTGGGAAGCTCAGAGGAAACTAGTTTTTGTTCATTTCTAGTTTTGTTTATCAACAAAGTGTCGGAATTTCCGGTTTGAAACTTTACCAGAAAAACTACTAATTATACAGGTCTATTATCTCCGAAAAAAGAGAATATAAAATGTATTATATAATAAATATATATATATATATATAAATATAATAGTAAAATATATTAATCATATTTTATAATTTATTTACAATTTATAACTAACTTCAATTATAAATAAAATAAATTTCAAAATTATAGTTAATTTTTAATTTAATTTTAAAAAATTTTATTTAAAAATAATTTTAAATAATATTTTTTTTATATATACGAGGATCAATTTAAATTGAAATAATGAAAGTGTCGGAAATGGAAAAAAGTATAATAAAAAAAAAAAGTATCTCCTCTTCCAACAGTGGCATTTGCATTAAGAATATAACGATACGAATAAATCTAGACTTCTTTTTAAGATGAATGAGCTGTTCCAATATAAATCCTAGAATTTATAAAAGAATATAGTTGAAAAATGAAAATATGTATGCGCCTTATATATTATTGTCGCAATCTCCCAAGAGGACGTTTAGCTCTTTATTCTCTCTGAAGAAATAAAATAAGAAAAAAAAATTTTTTTTTTCTACATAACAAGACCTTCGTGTGTCAATTAATTACAAAAAATATTTTCAGCGACTTTTGTTTTCTATTTTAAAAAACGAATTTCCAAGGAATCAAAAGAAAAAAACTATACCTTCATATAAATTATATTATTCATACGAAAAAAAAGAAAATGATTGAAATAAAAAAAAAATATTGTTTACCAAAAAAAGAAGTAGAAATTAAAATTTTATAGTTAATAAAAAAGAAATAGATTTTTCAGTTTTATATTTAAGATTTTTTTCTGTATTACGAGACTTGGTGGTTTAAATTTTTTTGTTTAATTTCGTAACCAATATTCTACTGCAGAGGACCCCCTATGAACGTATACAGATGCACACATATACAAAACTCGTGCAACTTCTCGGAACAGAATATATAAAGATAAAAAATAAAGAAAGGAAATAAAAACCAGAACGCACAAACTAAATTTTCTTGGCACTTATATCTTTTAAGACTTATGAGTTTGAGGGCGTATTTCGCATTTTCAAGAGGTTCAAATTCTTTCAAACGAAGTATAATTCTTTTGATGTCATCCTTTGTTCGCGCTTTATATATATCATTTTATATTTACACGTACTTATTTAAAAACATTTTTTAATCTCCCTCTGTGACGGCTTTTTTTTATATTATTAAATAATATTGTTATTATTATTTTAATAATCTGATAATAAATTATTCGTAAATAATTTATTAATTAATTGAAGGTAAGATGAGTAATTATAAACATTTATTTACCGTAGTTTAAAGAATGTTTATTATATTATACAATTGTGAGTAACGTTCCAAAGCCGTAGTTTTGGATACGTCTTGCTCTACAAAAAGATAACTTAGAACTAACTTAAGGACCTTGTCCTAGACAATTCGAAGCTTACAGTTAAAGAGGGGATGGGGACCAAACTAGTTTCTCTAACATTCCATTGAACAAGGGTAGTAGAGAAACTTTGTTTAAGTATTGGGCCTTGCGTCACACCCCCGTACTTAGAGAAAACTTAGTCTCTAAGTTCTTAGTCTAATATTTTGTTTAATGACTCTTACATCTTCACCTAGATCTGGAGCTGGTGCCGTAGCTATCGTATCGTATCGTACTACAGGTGGTTGAGTATTGCTAACGTTATTTTTTATACAAAATAAATTTATACAGAAATTTTTCGGCATTATTTTACTCAAAAATTTTAAAAATCCTGTTTTGTTTAATAAGTACATTATGACGAAAATTAAAGAACCATATCCCAAATATTTGAGAAAGTCAGTACCTTTCTCGAGCCAAGTTTTGTTTCTCCTATTATTTTTAATATTCTGAATCGACGTTTCCATTACATCTAGAGTACGTTTCAAAGCATTTAATTTTTCGTGGTGAATTGACTCTTGGATTATAGGTAATTGACTATTTAATAATTCTAAATCATTTTGAGTAATGGAGTAAGGTATATTTTTTTTTAAACAATATGTCGGTTTTGTGTTCTATTGACTTTCTTAGTTTGAGAATTGATTTTGGTGTGTGTATTTCGCAATCAGAGTTACTAAAAACAATACTAGGTTCCTTAATATTAATAATAGTTATTCTTGATTCGCAAGTAGTTGTTAGTTCTACCTCGCTCTCAGGGATAATGATATATTGATCTGGATCATGTAGTGGAATAAACGCTATTTCATAAATTCTAAAAACTGAAAATTCGCAAATTCGATCGGATATAATTTTGTTGTGGTTTCTTATAATACTTGTTTCACAATTTTCTATTTCACTGATAAGGTAGGTGGGTTGAGTTCGTTTACATATGTACTGATTCTCTAATTTTTTACATTTTTCCAAAAGTTTAATATCACTAGGTACATAAAGACTTTTTTCGTTGTTGATTAAAATAATTTCGTGGCTTGGGATTGGAGCTAGGAAACCTTTTCCATGATGGATAGGTATCGGGATGAGATGGAGAGTCTGAAAATCTCCATGTTCAGTTTCTGGAATTCTGAGCATGTATACAAGCCGTTTGTTCACGATTAAGATATTTATTTCGGAAATATCTATTATACGTTGATAGTTGTGAGGGATTAATCGAACAGGGTATTTAGTGTTTGTTTCTTCTGATATTTCTCGTAATTGTTGAATCAGCATACCGGGAGTGAGAATTTGTGGGTGAATAATGCCGTGTTTTCCGTCATTGACGGCATTTATTATTAAATTTAAATCATCATTGAATTCTTCGATAGCAATACTGCATAACACTATCATATTTGCCACTAGTAAGTTTCTCTCATTTCTATTTGTTGAATTTATGATTGAATTTAGTTGGTTTGTTTTGCTTTCGGATTGTTCGTTTAGCATCTGCAAGTCATGAGATGCAGAGTTTAACAAAGTTTTTAAAATCCTTGTCTGATTACCTATTGCTTGGCTCATTTTATCCTGATTATCGTAAACGTTGTCTAATTCGTCGTTGATTAGTTTCATATCATCTTCGTCCAGAGTGCCGAATAAAGTTTTTGATATGGATCCTATAATATTCAATATGCCTCTTTTTGAACGCGAAAAACCGAGAATTTGATCTAAAGTTGTTTGCAAATCTTCCAACCTGTTTATTCTATTGCAAATCGCGTGTAATTCAAATTCTTCCTGACAACCCGAACACATTTTCGACGCTTTTTCATACGTTTTCTTGATATCCTGTAGCCTAGTATCGAAACTTGAAGTATCTACACCTATAATCAACTTCCATGTCCGATGATACAAACTGGTAGTTCCTAAATTTTCCGCGAAAATAGGGATGTTGCCTAAAGGTTTGACGACGATTTCCGCGTGAAGCAGGGTAGACAATGTCAGGATGAATAATGACAATAGTTTCATCTTGTATCTGGAATTTAAGAATAAAAGAATTTTAATCTGTCTGCGTGAATAATCAATCTATTGTTGTTATAAATTATTTCATAATTGTTGTTAGGTAAACTTTTGACAATAGTGGCGGGACCTTTCCAGTCGGGGCTCAATTTATTTTCTTTCGTATTAGAAATCATTACTAAATCCCCGATGTCAAATAATTTTTGTGCTAAAACTATTTTTGCGTCTTGTACCCGTTTGTATCTTTCCTTACACCTTTGAATTTGTTCCTTTGCCTTTGATATGTATCTTTCGTGTCTTTCTTGCCATAACCTAACAAGTTCCGGATATTTCAAACTTGGAGTTGTTGCGAGCGTGGATGGGATGTTTGCGTTTCTACCGAAAGTCAATTCGAAAGGGGTAAATCCTGTCCCTTCGTGTTGCATGGTATTATATGCCATAGTTATGAATTTCAGTGTTTTATCCCATTCGGTATGGAGGTCTGACATGGCTGTTCGAATTAAGTCTTTTACCGTTCCATGTGTTCTTTCTAAAGCACCGTTACTTTGGGGATGGAAAGCAGTTGTTTTTATGTGTCGTATTCTGAATAAATTTTCAAAATTTTGAACTAATTCTGATATGAAATTTTGCCCTTGGTCAGTTAGAATGTGTTTCGGTGATCCGAACGTATATATGTAGTGATCGAACAGATTTTCGATAATTGTTTCCGATGACGTTTCCTTTAGCGGTATTAAAATAAGATACTTTGTCAACATATCTTGAATTGACAATATGTATTCATTTGATTTAGAAGTGACTGGTAAGGGACCAAAAATGTCCATTGCTATCTTGTCATTGGGTTCAGTTGGAGTGTCTGGTATGATTGCTTCGCTTCTTCTTTTGATTCGGTTGAGTTTTTGTGTTTGGCAAGTGTTGCATCTCTTTATATATTCTACAATATCTTTTTCCATATTTTTCCAAAGTCCTAAATCTCGTGCTCTTTGGATCGATTTATTTTCTCCAAAATGTTGGGCCATTATTGATCCATGACTCTCCTTTATAATTTCATTTTTTTCTTCTGTTGACAATTCAGTGGTGCTATTATAACACGTGTGCACTTTTAAATTTGGGTATTTAAAACTGATAAATGCAATCAAAATTTTTATCTTAACACGTTCGGTAGATGTAATTGTTGGGTCGTTAAAGTGCATCCTAAGAATAGTCAATTTCCTTGATATAGTCCATCTTGCAGTATTATCAAATATTCTAAGCCAATCCTTTTCATTGTACGTTGGTAGTTGTTTAATGTTGGGATCGTTGTTGTCGCGCTTGCAAAATTCTCTCCATAATTTCCCATTTGCGTTGGGTTTTTCTTCTTCTCTTGTTTCCGTGCGATTTGCAAACCACTTATAATATTCTTGATAAAGTTGCTTCTCTATAGGGTTTTCCTTCGTTGCATTTGGTTCCTCTAAAGGATTAGAAATAGGTATTTCATTAAAAGACTGTCCGAGGTCGTCAGATGTTTCTGCAGTTACCAAAGGGGCTTTCTCTATTTTCTTATTTCCTTCGGAAGGTATAGGTGTGTTAAGATCGCGTTCTGATGGATTGTTAATGACTTCAATTTCTGGTAATTCCGATTCTAAGTCGAAATCTAAATCGAACTCGTTTTGCGTGTTGTTTAGACCACTTGTGCCTTCTTGTGTGTTATGTATGCGAGACAGTGCGTCAGCAGCAGTGTTTTCTGATCCTTTTTTGTATTCTACTTCATACTCATACTCCTCCATTTTCAGTCGCCATCTCATTAATTTCGAAGCTGGGTCTTTAACATTAAAAAGCCATTTTAGTGCTTGATGATCAGTCAATATCTTAAATTTTCTTCCTAAAAGATATTGTCGAAGCCTTTTCGTTGCCCACACTATTGCGAGTAATTCTTTCTCTGTAGTAGTATAGTTCATTTCTGGTCCGTTCAGAGTCCGAGAGATATAATAGCACGGATGTCCATCCTGAGAAAGGATACCTCCCAGTCCAACATTTGAGGCGTCCGTTGTTAAAACGAATTCCTTTTCGAAATCTGGGTATCTTAACACGGGAGCGTTGCACAATTCTGTTTTCAATCGGTCAAAAGCTTTTTGACATTCTGGAGTCCAAATAAATTTTACGTTCGCTTTAGTGAGTTCCGTGAGTGGTTTAGCGATAGTTGAGTACTTGTTAATGAATTTTCTATAATATCCTGAAAGTCCTAAGAATGATCTCACATTAGAAACACTTTTTGGTACTGGAAATTCTTGAACAGCTTTTGTTTTTGAAGGGTTAGGTTTGACACCTTCTTCGGTGATAAGATGTCCTAAATATTCTAACTCGGGCCTCAAAAACTCGCATTTGTCAGGTTGTAATTTGAGTCCTGTTTGTCGTAACCTCTCGAATAGTGTTACAACATTTTTGTTATGTTCCTCTATCGTAGATCCGAATACCACGATGTCGTCTAAATACACCATACATATTTTGTTTACTAGGCCTGTCAAAGCATCATTAATCATCCTCTGAAATGTCGCTGGGGAATTTTTCAATCCAAAGGGCATTCTTTCGAACTCAAAATGTCCTTCCGGGGTAGAAAAGGCTGTAAATTTCTTTGATTCTTCGTCCATTGGGATGTGATGGAAACCGGAGCTAAGATCAAAAGCTGAGAAAAACTTTGATTTTCCCAAGCTATCGAGTATGTCCTCCATTACTGCCATTGGGTAGGAATCTTGTTCGGTTATCTCATTAATTTTTCGAAAATCAATCACAATACGCCATTTTTTTATACCTGATGCATCTACCTTTTTCGGAACTACCCATATTGGTGAATTATATGGCGATTTTGAATGTCGTATAATTTTTTGTTTTAACATTTCCCCTGTTTGTGTTTCGATTTCTTTTTTGTGACATTCTGGTGGCCTGTAAGATTTGTTATTGATGATTTTATCTTCCTTTAAAACGATCTTATGTTTAGTGAGGTGTGTACCTGGTAGAGGGTCTCCTGGTAATCGAAAGATGTCATGATATGATTCGATTATCTTGATTAAATGCTCTTTAAAATCTTTTTCGATATGTTCTAAACGCGTGTTTTCTTTAAGGAGTTTTAATCTTTCCGCTAAATTTTGAGGCGAAATATAATAAATATTTTCTTTCAAAACATCCGATTTTATATTTTTATATTTTATTTCCTCCAAATTAATACGTTTAAATTCCTGTGATTCGTTGCAAATAGGAATTGTGATCGTTTGGTCTCGAACCGTGTAAATGGAATCAGGAATGTGCGGATTATCAAAAATAGCTACGTTCTTAGATGTTTTGTTGTTAACTGGAATTTTAACTAGTGTTATCTGTTTAGGTGATAACAGTATTCCATCTTCATGTAATTCGTGTTCCTTTTTATCCAGTGTTAAACTCGTGTTAGTGAGATGGTACTCGTAATTTTGCAGAAATCTGATTCCGATTATACCGTCCTCTGGCATTGGAAAATCATCTGGTACCGAATAGAACGTGTGCGATTTTTCTAAATAATCTAAGTTAACTTTATTTTCCGAAACGCGATTATCACTTCCCATTCTAAATTCTTTTCTGCAACATTCCATTTTAATGTTGTCAGGTATAAATGATCTTTTAATTAGGTTAAGGGATGATCCTGAGTCCACGAGGAATCGTAATTCTCTTCCAAATCCAGGGGGTCGAATAATAATTGACTGTAGTCTTCCTGAAATCCTGTTAACTCTATCGATTCCGATGCTTCGTTTTCTCTGCTGTTTTCTACTGTCGAATCTATTTCTGGGTCTGCCTCGATTGCATAATGGACTCTCTGCGGGGGTCGTTTTGTCGTTTGTCCCTTTTGAAAATTTGGCCCATATCTTTTAGAATAACATTGGTTGTCGGTGTGGCCAGTCCTTTTACAAATACCGCAAACTAAACCTGTCCTTTGGGCTAAAGGTAAACCGTGATTTGGAGGGTCTCTCATTACAGGTCCGCTTTGCGTTTGGTTGAATGGCGAGGGCCTTACTTTCGCGTTCGTTGCACTTGCTGAGACTGGCCTTGCGTGTAACTTGGTCAGTTGGCTTACTACCTTGAATCTATTCTTCTCTCGATGCCAAGTCTCAATTTCTAGTGCATCCTGCTGAGCTTTACTGATGGACGGGGGTTTCAATGCTTGAACCTGTAGGCTTATTTCATCCCGTAGATTCATGATGTACCGTTTAACCGCAGAATCTTCCTCGACTTGGAATATTATTTTCCTGGCCATTGGTGAGGGGTGTTCTGACTGTATAGCATATTTTAATTCATTAAAAATTTTGCGAAATCTTTGATTATATAACTGCACGGGATCACTATTTTGCCTGCAATTTCCTAACCTAATTCTACAGGATTCCACAGACACTTCACAACTTAAATTAGATTTAAGGGCTGCAAATAATTCGTTGAAAGTGGTTATAGGGATGTGTCTTATTGCGCGTTTTGCATTTCCTACAATTTTTTCTGTTTTAATGAAATGCAGTAAAATTTCCGGTTGTGAACATTTGTTGAGAGCAAATTTCACGTTTGTGATAAAATCTTGCACACCCACGTCGTCTTCACCATTGAGGGTTTCGACCATTCGTAGAGCGTCCTTAGCGAGTAAAGTTTCAGGTGTAGCACCCCGCTGTGACGAAACTAGTCTTCCGCACGTCCCTACGCTATTATTTGTTCGTTCGGTGACAAAACCCGCTCTATTTGTTTCCGAATTTTCTTCGCGTTCGTTGTCGCTTATATCGGTGTCCGTATAATTTAAGGAATTTTTATGTTTCCTGTCGCTTTTGTTAGTTTGACTTTGAAAGGCGTTTGCAGGTGAACCCGATTCTTGACTTTTCGAGGAATTTCCGTCCTTCCCTTCGTTTTCGATAGTTTCCTTATTTTCTTTGTCTAAGGGATATGCTAAAGAATTTTTTTGTTCCCTATCGGCATTGTTCTCTTTTTTACTGTCGTCGTCCGAAGCAAGGGCATCGGTTTTCTTCGCGAGAGCTTTTATCTCTTTTGCCCGATTTTCATTTTCTTCGCTAAGTATAGCTTGGTTTTCTTGTATTACGGATAATTTTTGCAGGATTGCTTCTAGGAGGTTCGTTTGGGCCGCGCTATCCTGTTCACTCATTTTGCAATTTTTTTCGTAAGGATCAGGTGTGTAGGAGGAAGGGGGGGATGTATCCCTTTCTAATTCAGTGTTAACTCCTATTAAATGTTTTAAGTACGAATTGAGAGCCAGGGTTACTGATGTATGCTTATCTGTATTTTGATTTAAAATTCTTTTAGTATCGTGTGTGTGTGTGTGTGTTTCGCGACCGTATTCAATTTAAACAAATGTTAAATATTTCAAAATTTTAAACTCCTCACTTGTGCAATCTTGCTACAAAGAGTACACACAAGGTTAATTCGGAGTACTTCGATGAGTTTATTGACGGTGGCAGTGCTCTGGAACACCAGGAGTATACCAACGGACATAGATACCTTTAGAATCAAAGTACTCGCCTTCGTTGTGCTGATCGGTGGTGGTTGGCTGCTGGTTGGCTGCTGGTTGACTACCGGTTAGTTGCTGTCCCCTACAGTTTCGCCTTGCCTCTTCTTCAGGGTTTTACCGTACTGTTTTACGTTCCCTTATAAATAATCTTTATAAATCTGAATTTACGTTGTATAGGACCTACTTAATTCAGCCACTACTTTTATTCAGATTTAAAAGATTATGATTATTTATGTTCACTAAAAGTGAAACACTGCCATCACTTTTAAATAATTCACTTATAACTCGTTGTTAACTGAATATAGGTTCGTTTTCTGGATACGGTTCCTAGAGTTTATAACACTTTTCGTGAAAAGAATTAACTCAACACGTATCCTGGCAGGATCGCCAATTTTGTGACGGCTTTTTTTTATATTATTAAATAATATTGTTATTATTATTTTAATAATCTGATAATAAATTATTCGTAAATAATTTATTAATTAATTGAAGGTAAGATGAGTAATTATAAACATTTATTTACCGTAGTTTAAAGAATGTTTATTATATTATACAATTGTGAGTAACGTTCCAAAGCCGTAGTTTTGGATACGTCTTGCTCTACAAAAAGATAACTTAGAACTAACTTAAGGACCTTGTCCTAGACAATTCGAAGCTTACAGTTAAAGAGGGGATGGGGACCAAACTAGTTTCTCTAACATTCCATTGAACAAGGGTAGTAGAGAAACTTTGTTTAAGTATTGGGCCTTGCGTCACACCTCTCAGCAAAAAAAAAAAAAAAAATTAATTTACTTTTCCTCTAGATAATAAAAGAAAAAAAGTAATTTTAATAATAAATAATTTTTAAATGAAAAATAACTTTTACCTTCCAATATTGATAATATATATTATAGTTTTCTACTTATGTATATATATATTTATAATCTCTAATGATTAGAAAGTATTATATTGCACGAGAGTGGCATATTTATATTATTGCAATACTTTTTTTTTTATTGCATATATATATAAATCATGGGGTCGATACGCATAGGTGGATAAAAATAATGACTACTGTGATTTCAAAGCATCATCGATTCCCATTTGCATCGCTTCTCAGAAGAATAGACACACAATTGTCAATAGCATTTAATTATTTTCAAGCTATTTTACACTTTATAAATCAGAAAAAAAAATTCCGAAAAAATAATTTTACAAATTCATTTGAAAAACCCGACATTAAAATATTAAATACAAAATAATATTCTCTATTGTATATAATTAACGATTTCGCCAAGAAGAGAGATTTCCATAAATAATAATTATATCTCTACTATAAATTTCAAACAAGTAAATTATTTTTCTACAAATTTTTATGCTTTGAATTATAATTATTATTTACTATTTCCAAATTCATTATAATAAATAATAATTATAATTCGTTCATTTGTTTATATTTTTAGGGTTTCGTGACCCAGGGCTGAAAGCCTTAGAGTTTCGTTCTGGCGTACGTCCGTCCATCCATCGTTCATATGGCAACAGTTACTTACTATGGCAAAAGTTACTATGGCAACAGTTACTATGGCAACAGTTACTTCGGCAAAAGTTAGTTACTATGGCAAAAGTTAGTTTCTGGGAAAAAGTTACTATGGCAAAAGTTACTACGGCAAAAGTTAGTTTCTGGGAAAAAGTTACTATGGCAAAAGTTACTATGGCAAAAGTTAGTTTCTGGGACAAAAGTTACTATGGCAACAGTTAGTTTCTGGGACAAAAGTTACTGTGGAAAAAGTTACTACGGCAAAAGTTAGTTTCTAGGACAAAAGTTACTATGCCAGAAGTTACTATGGCAAAAGTTAGTTTCTGGGACAAAAGTTACTATGGCAAAAGTTAGTTACTATGGCAGAAGTTACTATGGAAAAAGTTACTACGGCAAAAGTTAGTTTCTGGGACAAAAGTTACTATGGCAACAGTTAGTTTCTGGGACAAAAGTTACTATGGCAGAAGTTACTATGGAAAAAGTTACTACGGCAAAAGTTAGTTTCTGGGACAAAAGTTACTATGGCAACAGTTAGTTTCTGGGACAAAAGTTACTATGGCAGAAGTTACTATGGAAAAAGTTACTACGGCAAAAGTTAGTTTCTGGGAAAAAGTTACTATGGCAAAAGTTACTACGGCAAAAGTTAGTTTCTGGGAAAAAGTTACTATGGCAGAAGTTACTATGGCAAAAGTTACTACGGCAAAAGTTAGTTTCTGGGACAAAAGTTACTATGGCAACAGTTAGTTTCTGGGACAAAAGTTACTGTGGAAAAAGTTACTACGGCAAAAGTTAGTTTCTAGGACAAAAGTTACTATGGCAAAAGTTAGTTACTATGGCAGAAGTTACTATGGAAAAAGTTACTACGGCAAAAGTTAGTTTCTGGGACAAAAGTTACTATGGCAACAGTTAGTTTCTGGGACAAAAGTTACTATGGCAGAAGTTAGTTACTATGGCAGAAGTTACTATGGAAAAAGTTACTACGGCAAAAGTTAGTTTCTGGGACAAAAGTTACTATGGCAACAGTTAGTTTCTGGGACAAAAGTTACTATGGCAGAAGTTACTATGGAAAAAGTTACTACGGCAAAAGTTAGTTTCTGGGACAAAAGTTACTATGGCAACAGTTAGTTTCTGGGACAAAAGTTACTATGGCAGAAGTTACTATGGAAAAAGTTACTACGGCAAAAGTTAGTTTCTGGGAAAAAGTTACTATGGCAAAAGTTACTACGGCAAAAGTTAGTTTCTGGGAAAAAGTTACTATGGCAGAAGTTACTATGGCAAAAGTTACTACGGCAAAAGTTAGTTTCTGGGACAAAAGTTACTATGGCAACAGTTAGTTTCTGGGACAAAAGTTACTGTGGAAAAAGTTACTACGGCAAAAGTTAGTTTCTAGGACAAAAGTTACTATGCCAGAAGTTACTATGGCAAAAGTTAGTTTCTGGGACAAAAGTTACTATGGCAAAAGTTAGTTACTATGGCAGAAGTTACTATGGAAAAAGTTACTACGGCAAAAGTTAGTTTCTGGGACAAAAGTTACTATGGCAACAGTTAGTTTCTGGGACAAAAGTTACTATGGCAGAAGTTACTATGGAAAAAGTTACTACGGCAAAAGTTAGTTTCTGGGACAAAAGTTACTATGGCAAAAGTTATTATCGCAGCAGTTACTATGGCAATAGTTACTTTATGGTAACATTTGATTTCCATAGCCATACCGTTTCCCGCTTCTTTTTCTGATTTTTTTTTTTTATTATTTGTTATTATTATTAGGGTTCTTAGAAAGAAATAAAGGCGCACATTAACATATGTGCGCGTATACATTTATATAAAAAGAAAGAATCGATAACCTTTGATAGTCGGTGAAATGGAGCTCAAGAAAGATTGAGAGGGTTTGAATTTCAGTGGTTAAAAGTTGGCATTTGATCTTACATTTTACATCGATTTTTGTACTTTGATAAAAAAAAGAAATAAAAAAAAAAAATGTAAAATTATACCTTGGTTTGAATATCATTCCCATCCCTGCATGACTCACATGCACCAAATTCCCTAACTTCCGATATATGCAAAAGTATGCGAGAGGCTTTAAAAATAAAGTTTCCTGTATTTTTACTCATACTCCAACTATTTACCGTTATATAAAATATTACTCATATACATAATATTCGAGAGAGTAATTAATGTTTAATCTATTTAATACAATTAAATTAACATTAGAGGAATATTTTTATTTTATGAAAAAAAAACTAGACTTACTGTAAAAAAAAAATGTTAATAATGTAATGAAAGAAATTTTAATTTTTTAAATTCATATTGAGTAATATTTGCATTTCAACCAAGTTTAATCTTCTTAACGGGAGACCGGAAATTGAGGGCTTCAAGTCCTTAGGGGATTTGAGTGCTTTAAATTCTATTCATCTTTTCATTAGTGTCCTTTATGATGACTCTACTTCCACAAATACTTGATCTAATTCAATAAAATTCTACTCTGATTTTGTATATAAATTTAAATTGAAAATGTATTTCCATATATATTCTACAATCAATATATACGAAACAGTAAAAGAAACCAAAAATTTATTTCGATCAAAATAAATATTTATTTGAATTAAACAAATTTCGAATAAATAATTAATAAAATAAATAATTAATTGATTAATAAGATAATAGTGTTAGCAGTGAGGTAAAACATGTCAAAGTGTAAAAATTAAGAAGGTCTATACAAGAATTACATGCTTGGGTCGATGCTTGTAGAAATTGTACAAAAGGGGCTTCGCGTGTATATTTTCCCGAAGAAACGCGATCGATCCAGAATATATACGTCTGCTTCAATAGCCACCCTCGTTCAACAAATTACTTTTTCTTATAGTGACACACAACGACCACGTTTATCTCGCGAGGGGAACAGAGAAATTCATGTATTTGCAAAGAAAATAAAAATGTCTCGATATTTAGAAAAATCAAACAAAAATTTTCTCTTCAATTTTTTGGTCAATAATTTTTTTATTTTTTAATCATTTTAATTCTATTTTTATATTTTTCCCTCGCGTGTGATTTATTTAAAAAAAAAAGAACAATTTTAATACGATTACAACCTCGTGTAGGAAAAAATTGTATATACCCAAACTCGTAAAATCTATTAGAATTTTATAATCTAATCTATAAATTATAACCAATTTTATGATCCATAAAAAATTTATGTTTGCTAATTTTGTCCAACTTAAGAATTTTTTCACAAACCTTTTTTTATATGCAAAAACCAATTATTTAAAAAAAAAAAACAAAAGCTTGCTATTCATTGAATTGTACGTTTCTATTTTTTGAAAAAAAAGTAATAGAAACGAAATAATGGAAACAGAGACAGGAAGTTTGCAATTCAAACAATAAATGTGAGGCGCATATATATGAATGAATTTATAGTATGTAGACAATAAGCCGGGGAAAATAATGTTGTTTAAACCTATAATGATGTATCAGTTACGATCTATATAGACACAAAAGCAATACATTTATATATAGACTATTTTGAGAAACAAGTTCCCGTGTATATATTTTGCTTGTCATTTATATTAGATACCATAGAAAATATACGTAGGTGTTGAGGAAACGAACAAGTCCAGCTAAAATGATTCACAACGAAAAGATAAATTATTTATGAAACCACAGGAGGATAATAGACAATGCATGGGAACTTTAAATGAAAAAAAAAATGTCAACTGCACGCGACAATAATATACAAAAAACATTTACAAAAACTCATAGAAAAAATATAATTTTTATCCAAAGATGAAAATTTCTTTAATTTCGAATTGAAAATAGTATTTTTATACGAAGAATTGTTTTTGTTTGTATAGATATGTTTTATGTTAAAGGAAAAATTGTATTATATTGAAATTCAGAAGATTGTGTTATAAAAAAGAATAAATTTTATTTTAATAAAACATGCCTCCGAGGCAGTTATTAAAAAAAAAAAAAAAGAGGGTGTGTGTGCCTCTCTCGTGGAAGTTGATTACAACAATATAACGGCTAGTTGCATCTTTGTCATGACGACGGAAAGTCGATAAATAAAATGTCCAATGGAGGCAACGAACTACC